CTGCCCAATACACCAGAAAGGGGAAGTGCCTCGCCCAGGGCCATTACCGCTGTGACAATTTTAAGAGGAGGCTTGCAGGGACCCATCTCTTTCTGTGCCCCTCCTCGGTCTTTGATGTAACTTAGGTTTTCTCAGTCTTACGTAAAGTGCTACCCAAATGCGGCTCTGAAGCAAGCTCCCTGGGCCTGGTTTTCTGTGGGATTGCCCATCTGCCTAAGCAACTTGAGAAGTTTTGGAGCCAGTAGCTGGAGGGAGGGAGGCTCAGGTCCTGCGTCACGCCTCAGCTCTCCCTGCAGGGCCCCAGAATGGAGAGTATCTTGCTTCAGGACTGGACAAACTGTGGCGTGCTTTCAAGCATCGGTAGGGAATTAAATATTAGTGTGAAAACTGCCCTAATTGTAAAACAGTTTCACTGCCCTCAATCCTCGCCCATTGATTCTATGTTTGTCAAACCCAGCTCTGAGCACAGTGTTTTTCAGTTTCAGCAACACCGTGTTTTTCAGTCAGCCCCATCATTTCTGAAAGTGCCTGGATCTAATCTTTTTCCTAGCACTTGGTATGTCCTGCCAGGTTTCTTCCCTGGGGCTGGTGCCGAGGACAAGGCCAAGCTGAGCTCTCACCACCTGCAGGACTCCATGGCACTATGGCTCCACCCGAGAGGGTGTGACCACTCCTGTCTTCTCTGTGTCCCTTTTATTTCCATGCTGGGGAGCAGGACCCGTGAGGGTGGAGGGGCAAATAAACTGAGGATGCCTTGAGATCCTGAGGGCTGGGTTTTAAAAATCCAACCTCACTCTGCTCACAGAGGGGTGGAGAGCCCTTTGCTGGAAAGAAGGTCCTGGATGTGTTGCATTTGCCCAGATCCAGCAGCAAGCCCTGTTGGCCCTATTTTCAGTCCATGTCCCGAGTCCAGCCACCTTATCACCTCCACCGCTGCCCTCCGTGGCCAAGCCACTGCCTCTTGCCTGGATTATATTAACAGCCTCCTCACGGATCTCCCTGCTGTTGCTTTTTGCCTAGTATGGTCTCTTTTCCAGAATGAAAGCAGCAGGGGGCATCCCTTTCAAACCTGTCGGCTCGTGTTGCCCTCCAACTGGGCTCACACTGCCTAGGGGTCTGCCTGGTGCCTCTTTATCTTCGCTGCTCTTCCCTCTCCAGCGTGCTCCTGCCTCGGGGCCTCCGCACTGGCTGTTCCCTCCCCCTCGACACTCTTCCTCCAGGTCTTCTTTCTCACGTGTTTTTTCCAGCATCACCTCCTCAGGCCTCCTGGGAGCACCTCATCTAAAACACACCCCCCACCACCGTTCTAGCCCTTCAGTCTGCTTTGCTTTTCTTCAAAACAATTACCGCTGCTTGCCATTCTATTACATACGGCTTTCCCCCCGCCCCACATTTTTCTACATTTTCATATTCTCTGCATTTTGTATTCTACATTTTCTACATTTCGTATTTCGTAGCAAAGTGTCCATCCAGCACATAGAAGTGCTTAATAAATATTCGTTGACTAGATAAGCCGGGCACAGTGGCTAGTGCCTGTAACCCAGCACTTTGGGAGGCGGAGGTGGGTGGATCACTTGAGTCCACTGGTTCCAGACCAGCCTGGGCAACATGGCGAAACCCCTGCCTCTATTAAAAATACAAAAGTTAGCCAGGTGTGGTGGCGCATCCCTATAATCTTAACTACTAGGGAGGCTGAGGTGTGAGGATCACTGGAGCCCGGGAGGTTGAGGCTGCAGTGAGCTATGATTGTGCCATTGCACACCGCAGCCTAAGCAACAGAGTGAGATCCTGTCTAAATAAATAAATAAATGCCTTATTTAGTTCACTAACGCCTCAGAAACTCTAAGTATCAATTTGCTCAGAGAGTTGATTGTGAGAATATTCATTTTTTTAGAAGTTAAATTTATTAATTTTTAAAACTTCTTGTTTTGAAAATTTTATACATCCAGAAAAGTTGCAAATATAGTAAAATAATCCCCATATACCCTTAACCATTGTTCCTAAATGTTAACATTTCACATGTTCTCTTCATGAGTCTCTTTTTGTGTATGTACACATTATTCTTAAATTTCTTTCGAATAGGTAATGTATACAGATGGTACAAAACATAAAATATATTAAAAGTAAACAGTGAAACATAAATGTACCCCCTCCGCCACCCCAACACTTCTCTCCAGACCAACCCTGACTAGTTTCTTGTATATCCTGTCAGAAATATCCTATGCATTTACAAACATATATGAATGTGTGTGCTTGTCTATTGTTTTTTTTTTTCCTTTTTTTGACACAGGGCCTCACTCTGCTGCCCAGGCTGGAGTGCGGAGATGGAATCATGGCTCACTGCAGCCTCAACCTCCAGGGCTCAGGTGATCCTACCACCTTGGCTTCCCGAGTAGCTGGGAATATAGGCATGCACCACCACGCCTGGCTAATTTTGTTTATTTTTTTATAGAGACAAGGTTTCATCTTGTTGCCCAGGCCGGTCTTCAACTCCCAAGCTCAAGCAATCTGCCTGCCTTGGCCTCCCAAAGTGCTGGGATTACAGGCGTGAGTCACCCCACTTGGCCTGTATTAGTCCATTTTCACACTGCTATAAAAAAAAGTACCCAAGACTAGGTAATTTACAAAGGAAAGAGGTTTAATTGACTCACAGTTCCACATGGTTGGGGAGGCCTCAGGAGACTTATAATCATGGTGGAAGGTGAAGGGAAGCAAGGACCTTCTTCACATGGCAGCAGGGGAGGGCAGTATATAAGTGCAGGAAAAACCATTTATAAAACCATCAGATCTCGTGAGAATTCACTCACTGTTCGAGAACAGCATGGGGAAACTGCCCCCATCATCCAATCACTTCCCTCCTTTGGCACATAGGGATTACAATTCAAGATGAGATTTGGGTGAGGACAGAGAGCCTAACCGTATCACGGCCCTTATCTATTGCATATATTTCATACACAGACACACTTTTTCCTCATAAAAAGCACACTATCCTCACTGTTCTGTACTTTACTTTTTTCATATGACACAATATCTTAAAGGTCATTCCATATCAGTCCACCTGGATCATTTTCTTCACGGGTGCAGAGTATGCCAAAGTTCGGATGTATGAGAGCTCATTTAACCAGCTCCCTATTGATGGAAATTTAGATAATTTCTAATCCTTTGCTACTACAGACAATGCTGTAATGAATATCCTTCCATACTGTATATCATCTGTGGAACCGGTGACTGAGAGTCAAATTGCTGGGTAGAAAGATTTTTGCATTTTAAATGTTGACAGATATTACACTTTTCTTTTCGTAAAAGATGTACCAGTTTGTATTCCTGCTAACAGTTTGTGAATGTGTTTCCTATATCCTTTATGATATAGTATACCCTGTTTTTGTTCTTACTAATTGAATAGTTGAAAATGATATCTCAATGTAGTTTTATTTTTTATTTTTACCCTCATCTTCTTCGTGATGGCATGTAGCTTTATCTTTTATTTCTCTTATTATATTTTTATAAACATTTTTCATATGTTTAAAAGCCATTGATATTTATTTTTCCATGAATTGTTTATTCATATTGGTGCCAATTTCTCTAATGCATTATTGGTTTTTCATTGATCTGTGGGAGTTCTTTGCAGAGGGAGAAAATTAACTTATTTTTTATAATATGTGAATATTTTTTCACAGTATTTGCCTTTTGACTTGTTAATGATGAACTTTTTTGCCATTCAGTTTTATTTATTTTTTTTAAATTTCCATATAGTTGAGTGTCTCAAACTTTTCTTTTGTGGCTTCTAATCATTTGTAATATATCTGGAAAAGCCTTGCCTAATCCAAGATTATTTAAAAATTATTCCGTGATCCCTCCTTCTTCTTCCTTTTTTTTAAAAGTAGAGGCGGGATCTCACCACGTTACCCAGCCTGGTCTTGAATTCCTAGGCTTAGTCAATCCTCCCGCCTCAGCCTCTCAAAGTGCTGGGATTACAGGTATGAGCCACCGCACCCAGCCTATCCCACGACAGACTTTCTCTTTCTTTCCCTCCCTCCCTGCCTCCCTCCTTCCCTCCCTCCCTTCTTTCCTTCCTTCCTTCCTTTCTACCTTCCTTCCTTCTGTCCTTTTCTTTCCCTCCTTTTTCTGCAACCATGACAAATGAACTATTCCATGATTTCTTATGGCATTTGTTCAAACATACACAAAAGTAGAGGAATGTAATATCATCAGTAATAGCCTGCAGTATCCTCATCAACTCCAGCAGTGATCAGAACACGGCCAGAGACAGTCTTTTTCATCTGTGTCCTATCTATTCTCCCCACTCTTCAATAATTTTGAAGTAAATCCCAAACAACATGTAATTGTGTGATTTTGATTTATAAAATGCTTATGCCTTTTAGCCATCTGGAATGCTTTTAGAGTTAGAGCTCTAACCATTTTTTGCAGATACCTAGCCCATTCTCCCAACACAGTTTATTGAATAAACCATCTGTGATTTGAGTGGTGCCTCTATGATACACTAAATTCCCACACATATTTGAGTCTATTCCTGTCTATTCATTATTCTGTTCCACTGATTCATTGATCTATATTCATGCCCCAATTCCATACTGTTCTGATGGCTGTAGCTCTACAGTGTATTTTGGTATCAGACTAGATTTTTCCCTAAAAGGTGATTTAGATGTAAGCCTCCCCTGGGGCTCAAAGACACTGTTTGAGAGTGAGGGCCTGAAATGAGGCAGGGTGGGCGGTTCTCCCAGGACATCCCATACACTTAGCTTTAGCCACAGCTGCGCCCATCAATCTGCTGAGATAAGGCATTGCCCTGGCAACCAGAGACTCAGGCCTAGTCCTGGCCGTGCCACTAAGGGCTGGGTGAACTCGAGCAGTCCATTTCACTCTTTGGAGCCTCTGCTTAGGAGGGCCTCCCTGCCAGCTCCAGCATTCTCCACTTCCAAGACACCAACCAGGGTAAGGGTGCCTTGGGGTGCCAGGCAAAATTGTGAAAGGGCCTCCAGTGGTCGCTTCCACAGGAAGTCCTGTAGATGAGCATAGGAGATTGGCTCGCTGGGGAACGGAAAAGGCAATTAAGCAAGACAAGACTGTTAACAGTCCCAGAGCTTGTGGGCTCCGCAGGGCAGTGCTCACCCCACCACCAGGTCCCGGGGCCCAGGGCTGCGTGTTCCACTGGGAGCCTTTGAGAGGTAGGAGCCATCCAAAGGTTACAATGCTTCTTTTTCTTTGCAAGGATGAGGATGGGGGAGGGAGCTGGGGTCCCCATTTAGCTCATATGTCAAGGGTGCAAAGGGCGGAGCCCTCTTTCCTCCAGCATTTGGAACTCTCTGCCTGGCTAAGGGAGGGGACAGGAAGGCATTTGGCCAGGAGGCTGGTGTAGATCACTACCGGTAAATGGCCGTGTGACCTAGGAGAATTCACGTGGCTTCTCAGAGCCTCAGTTTCTCTATTAGTTAGGAAGGGAGAAATGAGGATAAGTAGATTGGAACAAGACACTAGGTGGTCTCTCAGGCCCTCCAGTTTGGACAATTGGGGTTTAGCAACTATCACTATTATTTATAGCTATTGAAGCCAGCCGAGTGCAGAGCAGACCCAGTTCCAAGCGCCCTTTGGTGAGAGTGATGGAGACCCAGAGGCCCCAGGCAAGGCCCATGCCAGGTTGTAATCTGCCACTGTCCCCTCCACCCTTCTTCTCTGGCTTCCACTTCCTGGTGGGCGGCCTGTGGTGCCTGCTGCTTAACAGAATACCACATTTGGAGGGGAGTCCTGAGATGCCTGGGGGCAGGATTCATTTGCTCTCATGTCTGCCTTCAAACTTTACGCGATTTCTTAGGTGAGAGATGTGGAGAGAGGTGATCGTGCTGAGGGGCTGTGTGTGTGTCCTAGCCATGAAGGGGTCCCCCGCTGTTTTTTGTTTTTTTGAGACAGGGTCTCGCTCTGTTGCCTAGGCTGGAGTGTAGTGGCAGGATCTCAGGTCACTGCAACCTCCACCTCTTGGGTTCAAGCGACTCTCCTGCCTCAGCCTCCCTAGTAGCTGGGACTACAGGCATATGTTACCACACCCAGCTAATTTTTTGTATTTTAGTAGAGATGGGGTTTCACCATGTTGGCCAGGCTGGTCTCGATCTCGTGATCACCCGCCTCGGCCTTCCAAAGTGCTGGGATTATAGGCGTGAGCCACTGTGCCCAGCTGGGTCCCCCACTCTTAATGACATGAGGCATGAGGAAGCACTAAGAGGGATGTGGCGGAGGAGAGGGCACTGGCAGGGGTGGCCCTGCTGGCTGACTTGGAGGGATGTGTGCTGAGCAGTGGCATTCGTACATGCGGCATGGAATGATGAAATGGCTGTGAGAGGTGCTGGGCCTGACTGAGAGGCTGTCTGTGAGGGAGTGGAGGGTGAGGGTGATGGCCAAGGAAGGCGTGTGTGCGTGGACGTTCGCATGTGTACATTTCTGGATGGACTGAAGGATGTCCTTGCTGTCTCTGAGGGGCCAGGCCTGGCCTAGAAGGGGCACAGGCTGTTTTAGGGTATGCTGTCAGGCCATGGGGGTGCTGTCAGGGATCTGAATATGAAGGTGTGCGGGGTGAGTGCACCATTTCACCTGATGGTGATAAGTGACTGATTTTGAGGTGGCAATGGCTGGAGGGCACCTGCTGCTTTCCGCCTCAGGCCACCTGACAGGCAAGGAGCGGGTGGCTGAGTGCCCCTCCTGGGAGAGAAGGATTGACTGGCAGAGAGGGCAGATGCTGAGGTGGGGCAGGCGAGCTATTTTCTTATAAAATGCCAGGGGACTGCTGGAAATGGGCTGTGGAGGTGCAGCTTGGCTAGGAACTCCCCGAAAGGAATGTCAAGAACCCCACATGTCCTAGGATGTGGCTGCAGGGAATTTCTTCCAGGATTCTAACTTCTTACCCTTGTGGGAGCCCGACAGGCAGCGATGTGACACATCACAGTGGACTTTGCTTTGGAGGCTTCTGCACGGGGAGTCTTATCTTGCTCCCTCAGCCGTCTTGTCTCTTTCACCGGAAGTACACGAGGCACTGCTCTAGCTTCCCAGTACCGTGACTGGGCGTCACCACAGGAGCCAAGCCTGTCCACGCCCGCCCTGCCCCAAAGCCCCTTGTCCCACCGAGGGCTACTTCACTGGGCATTTGTCATCCCCAGAGGGGCCTTCTGCCCAGAGTGGAGTCACCTCTCCAGGACGTGGCCTGGGGGAAGTCCATCCCATGACCATCCAGGAGAGCAGAATCTGGTGTAGTTCTACCACTGACATCACGGCGTGGGCAGGCCACTCTGCCTCTTGGAACCTCCCTCAGTATACTCATCTGTCAAATGGGATAAATTGTATCTGTATGGAATCTGGCTTTTATGTGTCTCAAGTAAAGTTCACCTTTTTTTTTTTTTTTGAGATGGATTCTTACTCTGTCGCCAGGCTGGAGTGCAGAGGCACCATCTCAGCTCACTGCAACCTCCACCTCCTGGGTTCAAGCTATTCTCATGCCTCAGCCTCCCAAGTAGCTGGGATTACAGGCATGCGCCACCACACCCAGCTAATTTTTGTATTTTTGGTTGAGACGGGGTTTCACCATGTTGGCCAGGATGGTCTCGACTTTCTGACCTTGTGATCCACCCTTGGCCTCCGAAAGTGCTGGGATTACAGGCGTGGAGAATTCACCATTATGAATGTTGTCATTACCACCTTTACCCAGTAGTCACTGATGCCAAGCACACTCTTAAATGCTTTACATGGATTATACATTCAGCAAATATTTGCAAAGCACCAACTATATGCCAAGCGCTATTCTAGGCACTTGGGATAGAACAGAGAACAAAATAGTAAACTCCCTGCTCACATGAGGGCTATATTTCAGCATGAGGAGAAGGGAAATTTACAACAAAATGAGTATTCTGGGAAGGTGACAGGTGCTGAGAGAAATTCAAGCTGGAAAGGGAGCTGGGCCGTGCTGGGGAGCGGGAAGTGATATTTCAACTTTAATTATCTTGACTAATCGTCACAGCAACGCTGTGTGAGAGATATCAGTTCTGTTTCCAGTGAGGGAACAAGCACAGGGAGGCCGACTGACTTCCTTAAGATTGCACAGTCCACGGGTGGCAGAGCTGGGAGAAGCAGAGGTCTGTCTGACTTCAGAGCATGGGGACTGGAAGTCACTTTCTCCCGTGAGCCTCCTTTTCTGTATCTCCAGGTCACGGGCGTGGGACTGACCCTCTTCTAGTACTGAGGCTCACTGAGTCTTTTTTAAATTTTTATTTATTTATTTATTTATTTATTTTTTGAGTCAGAGTCTGGCTCTGTTGCCCAGGCTGGAGTGCAGTGGTGTGATCTCGGCTCACTGCAACCTGTGCCTCCTGGGTTCAAGCAATTCTTCTGCCTCAGCCTCCACAGTAGCTGGGATTACAGGCGCCCACCACTACACCCAGCTAATTTTTGTATTTTTAGTAGAGACGGGGTTTCACCAGGTTGGCAAGGCTGGTCTCGAACACCTGACCTCAGGTGATCCACCCACCTCGGCCTCCCAAAGTGCCGGGATTATAGGCATGAGCCACTGTGCCTGGTCACTTTTTAATTTTTTTGAGACAGAGTGTCACTCCGTCACTCAGGCTGGAGTGCAGTGGTGAATCATAGCTCACTGTAGCATTAACCTCCTGTACTCAAGTGATCCTCCCATCTCAGCCTCCCAAGTAGGTAGGACTGCAGGCACACCACCGCGCCCAGCTAGTTTTCTTTTGTAGAGGCAGGGTCTCACTATGTTGCCCAGGCTGGTCTTGAACTCCCGGGCTCAAGGGATCCTCTCGCCTCAGCCTCCCAAAGTACTGAAATTACAGGCCCCCATGCCCAGCTTATTTTGCTGTTGTTGTTTTGTTTATTAATCCCCTTCTATTCTACAGGGAGTCTTCTTTGAGTGTAACCTACAAGGGTGGAACTGCCAGGCCCAACCCCATTAGCCACTGAAGAAGGGTCATAGGACCATGGAGGGAGGGGGCTCCCCTCCTCAGGGTATGGGGAATGGAGACAGATCGTGGCTTTCTAGGTGTGGAAGGCCTCTAGGCCCAAGGAGGGGTGCCTATCTGGTCATTGTTTCCATGGGGTGAATTAGGGGTGGGAGATATAGGGTGAGGACCAGTTAGATTAGCATGGGGACGTCCCTATTCTAACCCGGGAATCTTATTCCTTATTCTTGGCTTTTAGGCCTCCCTGCTTTTTATTAGAAAGCCTTTTCTTTTGAGACAGTGTCTCGCTCTGTCGCCTAGGCTAGAGTGCAGTGTGATCTTGGCTCACTGACACCTCTGCCTCTTGGGCTCAAGTGATTCTCCCACCTCAACCTCCTTAGTAGCTGGGACTACAGGCACACACCACCATGCCCAGCTAATTTTTTGTGTTTTTGATAGAGATGGAGTTTCAGGCTGGTCTTGAACTCCTGGGCTCAAGTGATCCACCCACCTTGGCCTCCCAAAGTGTTGGGATTACAGGAATGAGCCACTGCATCTGGCCCTGATATTTTTTGAGTCTATTCAGTTGTCTGGTAGAACATTCCACATTCTAGGGGTCAGTGAGTCAGAAGAGGAAGAGAGACCACTACATATCCAGAGCAAGCCTGGGCACTATGAGGACATCAGGGTTAAGTGTAATCTCTCCTGCCCTGGAGCTCACTGCTGAGCTACGTCACCTCCCCCAGGAAGCCCTCTCTGACGCCCTGATCAGTGAGTTGCTCCTTTTCCAGTGCTTTCCCAGCACCTGACACACAGGCGTGCTGCCCCTTCTGTGGAATGCACTGTAATTATGTTTGTGTCTCCTGCACGAGGCTGTGAGGGCCCCTAGGGGAGACCAAGAGTTAGTCACACCTCTACCTGCAGGACCGGGGACTCTGCTGGGGTATGCAGGGTGTGTCCTGCACAAGGGTGCCCAGACAAGGGGGTGCATGGAGACTGGAATTCTCGCCATATTCCACGTGTCAAACCATGAGCCCCGGCACTGGGCTGCATCTGCCAGCAGGAAGTACCTTTTCCTAATTCGCTTAAAGGAAACATGGATTGTGGCAGGTCTACTTTGCACTGTACCAGCATTCAGTTGACGCTCAATAAATGCTTGTTGCTTAAGTGCATGATAGAGGGTGGGAAGGGTTAAGGCAGATGAAAGTCTTCAGAAGAGGTGTGCTGGTAACTGTTCTCTGGTGGGGGCAGGAGACCTGATTCGTAACATTTGCTGGTTCCCACGGTGCCAATACCCCCAGGCTGATTCCCAGGCGTCGAGGTAGGAAGAGGTGTGCACCATCAGCTCTCAAAGCCCCTCATACTGGGCTCCGGCACGCCACTGCGGTTTTACATTTATGATCTTAAAAGTGCATCTGAAACAGACTTTGAGGTGGTGGGGGAAGGGGGGAGAGAGAGAGAGAGAGAATGAGAATGTGCTTCTGTTTGAAGTTTGGGGCCTCCTCAGGATGAGAAATTGCTTCATCCAAGTTCTGTGCAGCCTGTGTAGTTCTCCTTGCCCAAGAAGAGGCCGTGGGATGACCCCCTGGAATAAGCCCATGATGCCTAAAGCAGAGGCCTCTAAGCACTCCACTCAGCCTGTCTGTGGCTTTGGCCCCAACAGAGAACTCCCAGGGGATGTCTCCTCCACCTCCTGGACATTAGCCTGGCTCTTCTGCCTCGATTCCTTCACATACACTGTTTACTGCCTCCAAATCCTACGTGCCTCCTGTAGAATCTGCCCACATCCCGTCACCGCAGGAATCTGGCCTGCCTGTCTGGACATCAAGTCCTTCTCATCCCACAACTTTATGGGCCCCAGACTTGTTCCCCCAAGGCAGGCTCAGACCTTATCCCTTCCAGACCACAGCCTCTCTTTTTCTCACCCCAGGGGCCTCAACTGGATGAATCCCCACCCATCAACGTCCTTATCAATTGACTGACTGAACTAAAACATTCAGTGACAGATGAATGAATAATGAATTTGAAACCCCTTTCTTAAGCACCTAATATGTGCTAAGGGACGGGGAGTAGCACGGACCTAGATACACAGTGATGCCCTCAGCCCGGGCAGCTCGGGGCCTGCCTTAGTCTGTTTTGTGCTGCTGTAGCAGATACCATAGAAGGGGAAGTTTACATAGAACGGAAATTTATTTCCTCGCAGTTCTGGAGGCTAGAAAGTTCAAGACTGAGGAGGCAGCATCTGGTGTGGGCCGTCTTGTGGTGTCTTCCCATGGTGGAAGGCAGAAGGACACAGATAACATGAGGGTCTGAGTCCATCCTTTTACAAGGAATTCATTTTATTATTATTTTTTTGAGGCAGAATCTCACTCTGTCACCCAGGTTGGTGTTCAATGGCACGATCTCGGCTCACTGCAACCTCTACCTCCCGGGTTCAAGCAATTCTCCTGCCTCAACCTCCCAAGTAGCTGGGATTACAGGTACCTGCCACTACGCCTGGCTAATTTTTTGTATTTTTGGTAGAGACAGGGTTTTGCCATGTTGGCCAGGCTGCTCTTGAACTCCTGACCTCAGGTGATCCACCCATCTCGGCCTCCCAAAGTGCTAGGATTACAGGCGTGAGCCACCGCGCCCGGCTGGAACGTACTTTTACAATAATGGCATTCATCCATTCACGAGGATGGTGCCCCCATGACCCAAACACTTCCCAACAGGCTCCACAGCTCAACACTGCCTCATTGGGGATCAAGTTTCCAACACACGAACTTTGAGGGACACATTTAAACTGCAGCAGGGTTGAGACAAGGGGGCACTGAACCCAGCTAGAATTGGAGGGGTGACCTCAGGGAAGGCTTCTTGGAGGAGGCAGCCTCTAAGGTAAGGAAGCAAAAGGTATTAACTAGGTAAGGGGGTGAGAGAGTTGTGGAGTTTGGGGGCAAGGGAGCAGGGTGGGAGGGAGTCAGGAATTCCAGGAGCTGTGGCTGGTTCAGCAGCATTGCCATGGACCTCAAGGGCACAGGGGCAGAGTCGATGAAGCTGAGGCCATGTCATGTGGGTCCCTAAAAGCGCATAGGGGAGCTACTGATTCCATGCTGCGTGTGTTGAAGGACTAGAGACATGCTGCTGCTGAGAAAAGGCTGGAGGAGAGGTGAGACGGAGGGGGGAGGGGAGGTGAGACGGAGGGGGGAGGGGAGGTGAGACGGAGGGGGGAGGGGAGGGGAGACGGAGGGGGGGGGGGAGGGGAGACGGGGGGGGGAGGGGAGGTGAGACGGAGCTGGGAGGTGGAGTCAGTGGAGGGATCCCTGATGCAGCTGAGATGAGTCAATGAGCCGGAAGAGTCGCCAGAGACAGAGATGGCTCAGGAAGCTGCTTCTGGCCCTTCAGATCCTGGAAAACCCTGCAAACCACCCTCCAGGTCAAAACACAAGACCAATTCTGCATGGGGTGAATAGGACATATTCGCTAATGGTCAGAGGAGACTTTGATAGTTGAGTAGTAGCCTGAGGCAATGAGGGCATGTGGGTAGCTTGGAGAAGGGCATTCCAGGCAGGGGGACTTAGAAAGGGCAATGGCGTTGAGCAGAATGGATGAGAGGCCAGGAGGTGGCTGGGCCATGAGGTCAAAGGACCCGGTGGGGCACCATCAGGCCGGGCTTTGGCAGCCATGGTGGATTTTCTTCCATAGGTGATGGGAGCCAGGGGAGGATTTTCAGTCATGACAGTGTGTGACTGTCCAGCAGCCCAGTGCCCCTCACTCCTCTGTCCCCAGGGCCAATGCACCATGGAGCCTGGACAAAGAGGGTCTCGAAAAGTTCGGAAGCTGGGCTCCAGCCGGCGGCGGCAGACAAGAGAGCCAGCCAATGGCGAAGATGCTGCGGTGGCCCCAGAGCCAGAGTCCTGGTCATCTCAGGCAGTGGCAGAACTGCAGGCCTTCTTCCAGGACTGCGGTGCCAAGGAGAGGGGCTTTGTCACCCGCGAGGACCTGGCGGTGAGCCCAAGGCCCCCATTTGAACGCTGAATCCCTGTTCCGCACCTCCTGAGACCCTCCATCCCAGGAAGGCAGGGCATGCCTACCCCGGTCCCTTTCTCTCATTTAGAGCTCTCAGAAAACACTAGGGATTTGTTGATATGAATGTGTAAATGACAGGTAAGGCTTTATGTGTTGCCCTCTTCCAGAAACATTTATCTTTTAACCAGTGACTTTAAGCCAAAGAAGTAATTTGCAAATGGTAAAATTTTAGTCTCATTAAGCAGGGACATTTATTTTGGGAAGCAGTCAGAGCCCTGGAAATCAAACCATGTCAATGACTGTAAGCTTCAATGAAACATGAGATCAGCCATGGTTGTGTGTTCCCATAAAGAGCCTTAGGCTGGCTGGGCGCAGTGGCTCATGTCTGTAATCCCAGCACTTTGGGAGGCCAAGATGGGCGGATCACTTGAGGTCAGGAGTTCCAGACCAGCCTGGCCAACATGGTGAAACCCCGTCTCTACGAAAAATACAAAAATTAGCCGGGCATGGTGGTAGGTGCCTGTAATCCCAGCTACTTGGGAGCCTAAAGCACAAAAATTGCTTGAGCCTGGGGAAGCAGAGGTTGTAGTGAACTGAGATCACGCCACTGCACTCCAGTCTGGGGAAACAGAGTGAGACTCCATCTCAAAAAAAAAAAATAAAATGAAATTGATCTTGAACCTTCCAGCAAAAAAAAAAAAAAAAGAAGGAAGAGGGCACCAGTAAATGTTATGACCGGTCCAAAGAGCCTTCGAGAAGCAAACAATTTGACAGAAAAGTATTAAGATAAGATTACTGAGTTCAATTTTTAAAATGGCTAATGTCTAATAGGCCATAAATCTTTCAAGCTATCTGTTCTACTAGAAAAAATGATTTTCATTTCTTCTGGACAAAAATCTCCAAGTTAACAAGTAACTTCAGTAAGTTTGGGACTTTTCATGAAAGGTAAACGATGGATTGTGCTAGCATCCTTCTGCCTCATTTTCCAAGTTTCAGACTTCCTTTCTTTCTTCCTTCCTTCCTCCCTCCCCCTCCCTCCCTCCTTCCCTCCCTCCCTTCCTTCCTTCCTTTTTCTCTCTTTCTTTCCCTTCCTTCCTTCCTTCCTTCCTTCCTTCCTTCCTTCCTTCCTTTCTCTTTTTCTTTCTTTCTTCTTTCTCTCTTCGGCGGAGTCTTGCTGTGTCACTCAGGCTGGAGTGCAAGTGGTGTGATCTCAGCTCACTGCAACCTTTGCCTCCCAGGTTCAAGTGATTCTCCTGCCTCAGCCTTCCGAGTAGCTGGAATTATCTGTGCCTGTGAGCATGCCTGGATAGTTTTTGTATTTTTAGTAGGGACGGAGTTGAGCCATGTTGGCCAGGCTGATCTCAAACTCCTGAGCTTGGGTGATCCACCTGTCTTGGCCTCCCAAAGTGCTGGGATTACAGGCATGAGCCACTGCACCAGCCAGATATTTTTTCTGTGATCACAGATAATCTCCAAAATTTTCTTGGAGTATAAGAGGCTGCTGTCATTACATTGGCTTATTTCCATAGATGCAACAAGGATATAATTAAACACACGAGTCTCTTTGAATTCCCCTACAAATAGAGACAGTATTGAGACATTTTAGCTTCTGTCTAGAAGCTTTCATACAGAATCTTAGGTTGTATTTTTTTTTTTTTTGAGAGATAGGATTTCACTCTGTTATCCAAGATGGAGTGCAGTGGTGCAATCATAGCTTACTGCAGCCTCAAACTCCTGGGCTGGAGCGATCCTCTCACCTCAGGCTCCTAAGTAGCTAGGACTAAAGGCACATGCCACTACGCCTGGCTACTTCTTAATTTTTTTTTGAGATGGAGTCTTGCTCTGTCACTCAGGCTGGGGTGCAGTGGCACGATCTCGGCTCGCTGCAATGTCCGCCTTCCAGGTTCAAGTGATTCTTCTGCCTCAGCCTCCTGAGTAGCTGGGACTATAGGCGTGTGCCACCATGCCTGGCTAATTTTTTGTATTTTTAGTAGAGATGGGGTTTCACTGTGTTGGCCAGATTGGTCTTGATCTCCTGACCTCGTGATTCACCCACCTTGGCCTCCCAAAGTACTGGGATTACAGGCGTGAACCACCGTGCCCTGCCTGATTCTTAAAATTTTTATAGAGATAAGGTCTTGATGTTTAACTCTTGGCCTCAAGCAATCCTCCCACCTCTGCTTCCCAAAGTGCTGAAATGACGGCTGTGAGCTGCCACGCCCAGCCTGGTTGGACTTTTGAAAATCTGTAGTTTGTTCTATTGAGTGATCAGTTGTTCCTGTTTTCCAAGGACTAACGGGGTTCCTGGGATGTGGGACTTTGAATGCTAAAATTGGCAAGTCCTGGGCAAACTATGATGAGTTGGTCACCCAACTTCTATCCTAAGGCTAGAAAACCAAGCCCAAAATACTGTCTTCACTAGACGTCACTTGCATCACCTGTAAGTATAAATGACTGCCTCTCTTCTTGAGGTCCCTGATTTTTCTAAGGTCCCTCTTCTGCCAGGAAGCAAGCCATGTAGTTCCAGGCCAGCTTCCTGGCAGGGTTTTATAGGGATTGGTTCCATGGGCATTCCTTATAGTAGGCTTGTCACACCTGATTAAATGAGGATCATCCCATCAAAAGACAGTCCAGGTAGGGCCTTGATTGCACAATTGATTTATCCAATTATATCTTGACCAAAAAGGAGGACAGATTCTGTTGAACCTGTGCAAATAACTATACTGCCATGGAAGGTAAGGAGAGTCTGTAAAAGTAATTTTTTTTTTTTTTTTTTGAGATGAAGTCTTGCTCTGTCGCCCAGGCTGGAGTGCAGTGGTGCCATCTCGGCTCACTGCAACCTCTGCCTCCCAGGTTCAAGTGATTCTCCTGCCTCAGCCTCCTGAGTAGCTGAGATTACAGGTGTACACCACCACGTCCGGCTAATTTTTGTATTTTTAATAGAGACAGGGTTTCACCATGTTGGTCAGGCTGGTCTTGTACTCCTGGACCTTGTGATCCTCCTGCCTCAGCCTCCCAAAGTGCTGGGATGACAGCTGAGCCAGTCTGGCCATCTATCTCATTTTGTTTTTTGAGATGGAGTTTCTCTCTTGTTGCCCAGGCTGGAGTGCAATGTGCCATCTCGGCTCACTGCAACATCTGCCTCCTGGGTTCAGGCAATTCTCCTGCCTCAGCCTCCTGAGTAGCTGGGATTAAAGGCATGCACCACCATGCCCAGCTAATTTTTATGCTTTTAGTAGAGACGGGGTTTCACCATGTTGGCCAGGCTGGTCTCAAACTCTTGACCTCCTGATCCGCCCCCCTCAGCCTCCCAAAGTGCTAGGATTACAGGCATCAGCCACTGGGCCTGGCTTTTTAATTTTTTTTATTTTTGAGACAGGGTCTTGCTCTCTCACCTAAGCTGGAGTGCAGTGGTGTGATCTTGGCTCATTGCAACCTCTGCCTCCCAGGTTCAAGTGATTCTCTTGCCTCAGCCTCTTGAGTAGCCGGGACTACACACACGTGCCACCATGCCCGACTGATGTTTTGTATTTTTTATAGAGGCAGGGCTGTGGGTTGCTCCATGTTGCCCAGGCTTAAAAGTGTTGGTTTCTGAATCATAAGGGGGTCAATGAGATTCAAATACCACTTGAAATGTTGAATTTCAGTTTACAAAAGTATAATCTGGCAGGGCATAGCGGCTCATGCCTGTAATCTCAGCACTTTTAGAAGGCTGAGACAGGCAGATCACCTGAGGTCAGGAGTTCCTGACTAGACTGGCCAACACGGTGAGATCCCATCTCTACTAAGAACACAAAAATTAGCTAGGTGTGGTGGCATTTGTCTGTAATCCTAGCTACTTGGGAGGCTGAGGCAGGAGAATCGCTTCAACCTGGGAGGCGGAGGTTGCAGTGAGCCGAGATCATGCCACTGCACTCCAGCCTGGGTGACAGAGCGAGACTCTGTCTAAAAAAAAAGTATAATCTACTAAACTGAGGGTTAGAGACAGCTCAAGAAGACCAGGAAGAACTTCCTCGCAGATCTATTAAAGTAAAACAATAAAAAATATTATCAACGATATTGCCCACAAAGAGCCATAACTAGATTTCCTTCAGCTGTTCCATCAGTGCCATGTAATTAATTAGTGTTCTGCTGGATCTTGGGTAAGCTGTCTGCTTTTGGACTCAAAAGAGTTGTAGGAATCCTCAGTCTGCTAGCGCAGTCAGGTCATCCAGTGTCAGCTTGGAAGCCTACACCCAAGTGAAGCATACACAGTTCATAGAACCGGCCACCGTCCTTTTTCTCTATACTTTGAGTGTGTTCCTCTTTGTCGAAGAAGACCCAAGTGAAGCAGACAAGAACAGACTCAAGGTCTAGGGAAAAAGGACTGTGCCAGGTTCCATGAACTATTTATGCTTCATTTGGGTGTGGGTTCTCTCTCATAAGGCCTGCAGTTTAAAACAGAGCTTCGGGGAGGTGTAGGAAAGGAGAAATGTGTCTAGTAACGAGATTGAAAGGCTGTGGTTATTATTACACTACCTAATAACATCAGGCTGGTTTCAAACCCCTGACCTCAGGTGATCCACCCATCTCGGCCTCCCGGGGTGCTGAGATTACAGGCGTGAGCCACTGCGTCCAGCCTATTTATTATTAATTCTTTTTTTTTTTCCATTTATTTTATTGCATTTTAGGTTTTGGTTATTATTAATTCTTAAACCCACCAAAACTGGGCCAAAGTTGGCAACATGTTAATACATTGCATAGCTTATTTTCAGACTCAGGTATCGTAAGTCAGGGCAGATAAAATTCTCTTTCAGCAAACTCTCCGCAACATTCTATAGCCATTCAAGTTTTGCCTTTTCATCCTTTTTCATGTTCTGGAATAACCACTTTCACACAACACTGCATCCCATTTTCCTTGTAGACAAAGTTCTGTTTCTCTGTCACTACTGCTCCTAGTAAAGCCTCAAGCATCTGTAGTTAATTGAACTTATGTTGTTGCTGCTGTTGTGTGGAGACAGGGTCTTGCTCTGTTGCCCTGGCTGGAGTGCAGTGGTGCAATCTCGGCTCACTGCAACCTCCACCTTCCGGGTTCAAGCAATTCTTGTGCCTCAGCCACGCGAGTAGCTGGGATTACACATGCCCTCCACCACACCAGGAGGATGTTTTTCTATTTTTAGTACAGACGGGGTTTTGCCATGTTGGCCAAGCTGGTCTCGAACTCCTGACCTCAAGTGATCCACCTGCCTAGGCCTTCCAGAGTGATGGGATTACAGGCTTGAGCCACCATCCCCAGCCTGTATTAATTGCACTTTTAACCAGTGTAATGAACCTCTTTCACTGGAAGAACTAAGGGTAAATAATAAGACAGAGAACTGTCTTATACAAGCATGTTAGCAGACAAGCAGAGCTCACAAATACACATAACCCAAGGCTTTCTACAGCCCTGCATGTCCCTAACACAACTTAAAAAAACAGTGGTCAAATATACATAACAGAGCCGTTATCATTTTAACTACATTTTAACTATTTTAAAATGTACTCTTCGGCGGCATTAAGTACATTCACAATGTTGTACATCCATTTTCCCCATCCATCTCCTTTCTTCTTGCCAAGTTGAACTCTGCACCCCTTGAATAGTAACTCCCATGCTTCCCTCTCCCCAACCCCTGGCTCTCCCTGTTCTACTTGGTATCTCTACAACTTTGATTACTCTAGATACCTCATAGAAATGGAATCATACAGTGTTTGTCTTTTAGTGATGGGTGTATTTTCCTTAGCAGAATGTCCTCAAGGTTTACCTGTATTGTAGCATGTGTCCAAATGTTTTTCTTTTTAAAGACGGAGTAATATTCTGTCTTTAAAACAGCAACAGCAAAACTCACCAATCCAGATTTCAAAAAGCTGTTTTCCTTTTCAATGAATATGAATTTTTTTTTTTTGAGGGGGAGTCTCATTCTGTCACCCAGGCTGGAGCGCAGCGGTGCGATCTCTGCTCACCGCAATACTGTACATATACGTCCCATTTTGTCTATCCTCTCGTCTGTCAGTGAGCACTCGGACTGACTGCATCTTTTGGCGACTGTGTATAACGCTGCTATGAATACGGGCATGCAAATATCTGAGTCTCCGCTTTCTTTTGCACGACTTCTTTTTTTTTGAGATGGAGTCTCACTCTGTCGCCCAGGCTGGAGTGTGGTGGCGCGATCTCAGCTTACTGCAACCTCCGCCTCCTAGAATCAAGTGATTTTCCTGCCTCAGTCTCCCAAGTAGAGTGGCTGGGACTACAGGCATGCGCCACCACATGCAGGTAACTTTTGTATTTTTAGTAGACACGGGGTTTCACCACGTTGGCCAGGCTGGTCTCAAACTCCTGAACTCAGGTGATCCACCTGCCTCGGCCTCCCAAAGTGCTGGGATTACAGGCATGAGCCACCACACCCAGCTTTTTAAAGCAGAAAAAAATGAATCCACTTATTAACATGACCCAAAGATACAGCCACTTTCTAGCATGTGAAAATAAGAAGTAAAAAATATGCCAACTTAAAATTATGTGTAGCAATCACTGTTTCAGCATTAATTTTTCTTAGAAATTATACAGATAGCCAAAAATTATTTATTAATTAATGTACCTCAATATTAATTCAAAATTTTAAAGTTACCTAAGAATCTTGGAAACTGTATTTAAGGTGACACCCTAGAAAATATAATTACTGTTGATACAAAATTTATTTGCTTGAATAATTAGTCAATTTAATGGGGCACAAATTTACAGTTTTGTAATCTTAAACATATGTAAAGATAATGTTGACTTATTTGATCTGAAAGCTGAAATGAGAAGAAATCTAGATTAACTAGTTTCTTTACAAAACAAATATAGATCTTATGAAAAACAGAATGTATACCCATATTATACTTAACATAAAGCACAGAAAAGATAGATAGCTATTATATGCGCTTTGTCAAAACAATTATTAAACCAGTCTAATTTGTTCAAAGAATCATGTTAATTATATAAACCTGGCTCCCGAAAAATTTTCTGAGCTAGCAATTTCTATAAGAAGAATTGTTTTGAGTTTAACACATTTAAAGCATTCAAATTTCAGTTATTTTCTGTTATTTTTAGGAGCATTAGATTTATAAACTCACTTATTTGTCTCTATAAACGAATCAACACAGAACTCCTTTAAAAGACTTAGTACTCTAAGTTATGAATACCTTCCAGATGTACAAGAGTATTTCACACTGACAGTAAGAGTTAAAGACCTTTTGGGCATGGTGGCACATGCCTATAATTCCAGTTACTCGGTAGGCAGAGGCAGGAGAATCGCTTGAACCCAGGAGGTGGAGGTTGCAGTGAGCTGAGATAGTGCCACTGTACTCCAGCCTGGGAAACAGAGTGAGACTCTATCTCAAAAAAAAAGCGTTAAAGGCCTTTCTATTACAGACGTATAGATACACAGACACACAGAGAATGTCTGGCTTCGTTTCTACAGTTCCAGCCACAGATGAAAAGTAAACACAGCAGGATGGGTGTGGTGGCTCATGCCTGTAATCCCAGCACTTCGGAAGGCCGAAGTGGGCAGATCACTTGAGTTCAGGAGTTCGAGACCAGACTGGCCAACATGGTGAAACCCCGTCTCTACTAAAAATGCAAAAATTAGTCAGGCATGATGGTGTCCACCTGTAACCCCAGCTACTTGGGGAGGCTAAGGCAGAAGAATTGCTTGAACCTGGGAGGTGGAGATGGCAGTGAGCCGAGATTGTGCCACTGCACTCCAGCCTGGGTGACAGAGTGAGACTGTCTCAAAAAAAAAAAAAAAGAAAAAAAAAAGTAAACACAACAACATGAAAACTCACCAGTTCAGATCTCAAAGAGCTGCTCTCCTTCGCTGTGGATATAAAATTCTTTTTTTTTTTTTTTGAGATGGAGTCTCATTGTGTCACCTAGGCTGGAGTGCAGTGGTGTCATCTCAGCTCACTGCAACCTTCACCTCCTGGGTTCAAGCGGTTCCCCTGCATCAGCCTCCAGAGTAGGTGGGATTACAGGCGCCTACCACCGTGCCAGGATAATTTTTATATTATTAGCAGAGATAGGGTTTCACCATGTTGGCCAGGATGGTCTCGAATTCCTGACCTCAAGTGATCCGCCGGCCTCGGCCTCCCAACGTGCTGGGATTAAAGCAACAACAGCAACAACACGATTAGCAGACCAGATTTTCCATTATTTTTCAACCAACAGGCATTAGGTCTCCATTATGCATCCCCCAGAGGTCACCAAACAGAACATAAAGACCATCACTGGTTTAGACCAGACCATCACCGCTGCCACCGATGGGGAATAACTTATCAGTCATGTGCAGCCCCAAATAAAAACACGAAATTCACAAAAAGGAAAAAAAAAGTAACTAGAGAAACAGAGAATCCGCAAACTCAAAGTTCTGTTATACTTGGGATTCCCGCTGACAGCCAAAGTGTGTGGGCAAAGAGCCCACGATATGTACTTGTCCAGCCATGGACGTTACTTGGTGCTGCCAGATGAGTCCACTGGGCCGTCTCCATAGACCTTAGTCCGAAACCTGTTATAGTTTTCAAAGGTGAAATCATGACCTGTGGGCCATGACATAGAAAATGAACTCTTACAGGAGATTTTATTTAGCTCATTGATTTTTTTTTTTTTTTTTTGAAATGGTGTCTTGCTCTGCCACCCAGGCTGGAGTGCAATGGCATGAGCCCAGCTCACTGCAGCCTCTGTCTCCCAGGTTCAAATGATTCTCCTGCCTCAGTCTCCCGAGTAACTGGGACTACAGGTGCTTGTCACCACATCTGGCTGATTTTTGTATTTTTAGTAGAGACAGGGTTTCGCCATGTTGGCCAAGCTGGTCTTGAACTCCTGACCTCAGGTGATCCGCTGGCCTCGGCCTCCCAAAGTGCTGGGATTACAGGCATGAGCCACCGGGCCCGGCCTCAGATAACTTTTGGACACCGATCACCACATTCTGCAGAGGATTGGCTGTCCTTTATCAAGCTCCTAAAGACATAGAACTTAGGGCAGATACTTCTTGATTTTGGATGCAGAAAGTGAAAAGGGGTGGAGCCAGTTCAGGGCTCTGCTGGGAGGAGTGCCTTGGATGGGGTTGGGAACATCAAGCTTAGGCCCTGGTTCAGGTTACTGGGTGGGGGGACTCTGAAACTGGGGAGAGGTGAGGTGGGGGTGGCTGAAGACAAACACCTCTCTTTTTTGGAGGGTCAGAGCCTTCCTTGGTGGGAACACCTGCTCAACTTTCCCATTCCTTCCAGGTGGCCAAGTTCAGCTTCCTGGGCGGCGAGGAGGAGCCAGAGATGATATTTGACTGGGTGGACGTGGAGCGGAAGGGACAGCTGTCCCTGGAAGAATTCAGCTCTGGAATCAGTATGCCTGTCCTTGGAGGGCCTCTGGGCACCCAGGTGTCCGGTGCAGTGTGCCCTGCATGGGGCTAGGCTGGGTCATCAGAAAGGCAACCCTATTCCCAGGGACTTTCACCCCCTATCTCCTGCTGCCAGAGTGGTCCAGGCCCTCCCCTGTGCATCCTCGTCCAGAGAGGCCTCTGGGCTTGCCTTCTGACTCCTCCCATGTCTTCTCCCCAGTAAAAGACTTCTTCTGAGCCAGAGGTCTTAAAACCACAGATTTGTTTCTGCCTGAGGAGAGCTACATAGTGGCTTTGGTTAAGGGAATTCCATGGGCCAGGGAGCAGCAGAGGGTGATATTTAGGGGTGGGTGCTTTCCAGGTGCTAAGCCCCCACTGAGAAGGGCCACCCCAACGCCTGCCTCTCTAGATGGGCTGACAAGACTTAGGACCAGCAGGGCGCAATCCTTCCTTGAATCCTCTCCCTGGGAAGACCTTCCGGCCCAGGCCATAGAAGGCGTAGTGTCCTCTAAAAGCGTCTGCAAGACACAGCTCAGCCTTCAGTGTCCACAAAGCCACCCAGAATTCTCAGGTCAGCTGAGTCTCCAAAAGCTTGGAGGCCAGCAGAGAAGGAGGCCAGGAATCTGCACTTATGGGTGGGGCCACTCCAGGAGGCAGCTGCTCCAGTTCTGGCAATGGAGAAGCTGTGAGTGGGGAGAACTCAGGGGCCAGGCAGGAGGAATTGCCGGTGGGGTGCAGAGGGAGCACTGTTGTCCACGCGGCCTTGGGGCCATCTTCATTCCCAAACTGAATCATGTCGCCATGCCGAGAACTTCCCGGTGCCAGTGGGACAAACTAGAACCCCCTTCCTGGGGCCTGCAGGGCCTGCACCATCCGGACGCTGCCAGCCTCTTTAACTCACTCGGTGCCGTTGACCCGTCCACCTTGCTAGCCCAGCTCCTGCCGCACGGCCCCTGCGGTGCTGTTCCCTTTGCCGGGAACACACACCTCTGGAGTCCACATGGTTTGCTCCTTCTTGTTGTTCACATCTCAGTTCCAATGTCACCTCCTTAGGATGCTCCTGGCCACCTCATCTGAGTCGATCCTCCCAGTCTCTCAGTGGAAATTACCCTGAGTTTTCCTTTGGCTCACTTAGCAAATTGGCTTTAAAAAAAAAAAAAAAGTAGGCCGGGCACGGTGGCTCAAGCCTGTAATCCCAGCACTTTGGGAGGCCGAGGCGGGTGGATCACGAGGTCAAGAGATAGAGACCATCCTGGTCAACATGGTGAAACCCCATCTCTACTAAAAATACAAAAAATTAGCTGGGCATGGTGGTGCGTGCCTGTAATCCCAGCTACTCAGGAGGCTGAGGCAGGAGAATTGCCTGAACCCGGGAGGCGGAGGTTGCGGGGAGCCGAGATCGGGCCATTGCACTCCAGCCTGGGTAACAAGAGCGAAACTCCGTCTCAAAAAAAAAAAAAGTATTCTTTTCAACCGGCACTAGAATGTCAGCTCCATGTTAGGGATTTTGGCTAATTTTGTCATAGTAGATATTCAATAAATATCTCTTGATTGAGTGCATGAAAAATCCACTCAATGCCATGGAGGTGCTGTGTAATTTCTAGCAAGTCTTTTGGTGTCTCTGGGCCTCAGGCACTCATCTGTAAAATGGGGACCTTAAGTAGACTCTTAAGGTGATTTGAGAAATATGTGAATGCAGCCCTGTGTAAATGTGACTGGCACAGGTGGAATTACTTCTCCAAGGGCTGGAGCAGGGCTGGGCGGGAGGTCAGGTGCCTGGGCCCAGCACCACTCTCTTCCCCTCTGTCTGCCTCTGTCCCACAGAAAACATCCTTGGCTCCAGCCAGAGTGCCCACAGGCTCCGCAGAAGGAAGCCACTGCCTTCTAAGCAGGTATCTGCTACCACCAGCTTCCCAGCCCTGGAGGAGGCCGACGATGAGGAGAAGGAGGCGTTCCTTGCCTTCATGGAGCAGCTGGGGACTGGACACTTACTTCCCAAGTAAGGCCAGGGCAGCATGTGCAGAGGGACAGGCTCTGCCAGCCATTGACAGTGGGGGTCTCCTGGACACAGCACCAAGGGATCAGGCGCCGGGTAGAGCCAGGTGCAAATCCCAGCTTGGCCATTGGCTAACTGTGTGACCACAGGGCTGGCTTGATTTCTGACCTCTGTTTCCTGGGCTGCAGAATGAGCCTAAAAAGCTGTTGTGGGATTAAAACCACGTGCAGAGGATGCCTGCTCACGGGGAGTCCTTCCCACCCCTGCACCTCCCTGCCCTGTCCTGCCCTGTAGGGTCACTCTCCAGGGGGACTAACAAGTGGGCTTTCAGCCTCTCAAGGGTACCTGAATTCTTAAAACCATGGGAATTCCAGTGGAATCTGATTGCATTTCCTTGGCTCCTTCTACAGCTGGGCCTGTGAGCTAGGCATGGGAGTCCCTGAGGGTGCCTTTCTTAACTCAAAGTGAGGTTCCCTGGAGTTGGGGGGATTTCAGGCATGCTGTATGCCCTGGGTTGAACAGGTGTGGAGACAGGAGTGCGTTTCCTCCCATTCATCTCAGGCTCTGGGTGTAAGGCGTTTGGCTTTGCTTAGAGAAGGGGAGCACAGGCCAGCACAGTGGCTCACGCCTGTAGTCCCAGCACTTTGGCAGGCTGAGGCGGGCAGATCACCTGAAGTCAGGAGTTCGAGACCAGCCTGACCAACATGGTGAAACCCCACCTCTACTAAAAATATAAAAACTAGCCAGGCATGGTGGCACGTGCCTGTAATCCCAGCTACTCGGGAGGCTGAGGCAGGAGCTGGAACCCAGGAGGTGGAGGTTTCAGTGAGCCGAGATCATGCCACTGCACTCCAGCCTAAGCAACAGAGCGAGATTCTGTCTCAAAAAAAAGAGAAGGGGAGCCCTGCAAAAAAAACAGAAGGGGAGAAGTGTCCCCTCCTAGGACCCCCAGGGTCTGTTACAATCATGGAGGGAATCGCCCTCACCTACTGGCCCAGGTTTGCTCACCCCACCTTCAGGGTTCTGTGAGGACACGATTCCTCACGCTTGGCTCCTGGAGGGTGGGGCCAGGTGCTGTGAGGCAGGCAGGGTGGGACTTAGGGTGTAGACTGGCGGGGCAAGGGTGTGGCCTTTTATGCACTTGGCAGCTTGGCCTAGGCTCAGCCCCTGGCATCCATCCTCATGACTTAATTAGATCCATGTGAAAGCAGTTTTTTTGGGGTGCCAACCATGTGGCAGGCCCTGAGCTGGTGTGTTCACCAGGCGTCTCTCATTCCCCAGTGATTGCATGGCAGGTATTAGCCCCTCCTCCCCATTTTACAAATGAGCCCAGAGAGGGCTTAGGACTTGCTGAAGGTCACACAGCAAGTGGGAGAAGAGAGAGGTCAGGTGGAAGCCCTGGGCCATGAGGATCCCAAATCCCCCATCCCACTGTTACGGAGTTGTAGAGAAACAAAGTGTGGCAGAGGTTTAAGAAGGGAGAGGGCACATCTGGGAACGGTTCCTGGAGGAGGTGGCATTTGAGTTATATCTTGTAGGGTGTCAATAGGTTTGGCCCAGGTGCCACAGTCTCTTGAAGCCACTGCCATGAAAACTGAGGAATGGGGCTCCCCTTGCGTCTCTTCCCACCTCGTGCCTGCCCCTCCCATCTCTGGCTATCCTCCGCTCCCCAGGCAGACAGAAATCTGGCAGCTGTGGGGGAAGCTGCGGCAGGAGGAGCCCCAGCTGGCAGGTAACCTGGCGGGCTTTGTGGCCAAGATGACCAGCTGCCTGCAGGAGGCCCAGGCGGAGAAGGAGGCCCTGGAGCTGACCCTGAGGAAGTGAGTGGGGACCCCAGCCAGGTGTCTGACTCCAAGTAGGCACTCTTCACATCCAGTGGAATCTGATTGAATTTCCCCAGCTCCTTCCACAGCTGGGTCTGTGAGCTGATAGGGCAGAGCTGCACTGGAGGAAGAGGTGGCTCAGGAGACCTGGCGGGGGAGGACAGAGTTGGTAAAGGCAGGAGTGGAAATGGCAGGTGTGTCTTGGTACAGGACCCACTATGACGCCCAACTCCAGGGGTCCTGCGCCCATAGATTGCAATGCATGTAGTGACCCTGGAGTCGGGTTATAGGGGCAGGAGGATGGTGACAGAGGGAGGTGGGAACTGAGTGATGGGGACAATGCGACAGGGCCAGGGGAACTGGTGATGGTTACAGGGTCGGCATGGTGGGATCAGCAGGGCTGATGTCAAAGTCATGTGGGTCAGGGGTTGTTCTCAGGGTGGCAGGGGTCAGTGGCTGCTGGCAGAGTGAGGTGGGCAAAAGGATGGATCCAAACCCAGGCCCAGACCGCCCCTGCCAGCAGCAGCTCCCAGAGGGGCTGATGGGCTGCCCGGCCCTACCTCCTGCTCCTTCCAGGCAAGACTCTGACCACCACCGCAAGGTGCAGCAGCTCTATGAGGAGATGGAGCAGCAGATCCACCAGGAGAAGCAGCAGCTGCAGGCTGAGGTGGGCTCCCCCTGGCAGCCTGCCTCCTTCCCACTGCCTGGGATGCCTCTGCTGGCTAAGTAGTGGAGCCAGTGACTGGCCAGGGTGGGGCGCAGGAGGCTGCTGGAGCGAGCCCTCTCCCTGCCCTGAGCGGCTTGTGCTCCTCAGAGTGATGGGGTGGGAAGTGTTGAGCCTGGGCCCCTTCCCATCCCTGCCAAGTCTCCTTGTTGCCACAGTCTAGGCTGGAATTGGGGGAGTTGTCCGGAGAAGCCTCCCGGCTGGGACACCCTGGCCCAGGCAGCCCAGGTGGTGGAGGTGGAGTGTAAGAAGCGCCGGCTGGCTCTTAGAGTCTGCAGGGTGAGGGCTGAATCTGTCTATTCCGCAGAGCGACTCTCGGGGTCTGGCCTTCACCTCCCAGATGCAGGACATCCTAGAGGCCAAGGAGCATGAGGTGCAGCGACTAGCTGAGGGCCAGAGGGAGGTGAGTGACAGGGTTTCCCGGAAGCCCACTTCCAAACAGGTTTTAATATTTATGAGCCTTGGTTTCCTATCAGAGACATGGAAATCAGAACTCCAGCCTTAGAAGGTACTGTGATGATTAGAGGTACTATGTGTGAGGGCCTGAGACAGTGCCTGGCACATAGTAGGTGCTTTATGTATCAGTTGTTCCATCTCTGAAACTGATCTAGCTCCCTACTTAGGGTCAGGTTACCTGCTGCCTCGACATGGCAGGTCTTACAGCCTGTAGTCACTTCTGAGTGGCACTGTGGTTGAGTGTTTGGGTCTAAACCCTGCCCCCACTGTCTCTTTCTTCGTCAACTTGAAGACCACTGCCCTTGCCAAAATTGCCCTCTGCAATTTTGACTCCCCAGCCTTCCCCACCGTGGCCTGGGCTGGCCCTGTCACCAGGTTGATTTCCCAGGTGCCTCTGCAGCTGCTCCTTGGAAATCGAGGCAGGCCCCTCCTGCCAAGAGAAGAGATTGGGCTTTACATGTGAAGCCATTTCTTGTCCCCTCTGGCCGTGAAGCCCCTCCCCTCCAACCATTCATTCCTTCGCCCTACAGCTACTTATCCAGCACCTACCATGTGCCAGGCACTGTTCCAGGTTCTGAGGCTCATGATCGACACAAACCTCTGCCCACAGAGTTACCATCTCGTCAGGGAGACAGGCGACATAAATAGCATATGAGATGGTGAGCAGTGCTAAGGAGAATAAAGTAAAACAGGGAAGGGGAAGAGCTGAGTTGGGAGAGTTGGAATCGTCGTCGAAGTAAGTTGAAAAGAGAGTCAAGGAAGGCTTGGCTGAGGTGACGACATTGGAGTGAAGACCTGAAGAGGTGTGTGACGTGTGAGGGAAGGGCAGCCACTGAAGAGGCGTGATGTGTGGGGGAAGGGCATCCAGGCAGAGGGAACAGCAGGTGCGAAGGCCCTGAGCAGGTGTGCTCTGTGCAAGTTCAAGGAACAGTAAGCAAACCTGTGGACTGGAAGAGACTGAGAGGGGACAGCTGCAGGAGAGGAGGTGAGAGTCGTGAGCGGAGGTGAGGTGGCTTCGGGAGACTGTGCAGGGTCCTGGAGGCCATTGCGAGAGTTTTGCCTTTCCCTGCACCTGGCCAAGCGGTGCTCCCTTTCTGGGTCACGTGATTTGCTATTGGAGCAGGAGCTCCCTGCAGATCAGACGGGCTCAGGGCCTTTGTGGCCCTGGTGGTCTGTGTTCTCACAGTCTCCCTGCCCTCCCCACCCCAGCATTTCCAGTGCCCCTCCTGGGCAGGAGCTAATGGAGCTAGTTAGGCCAAGGAGGGATAACCACCCACCCCTACTCTAATTTAAGCTGGGACTCCAGGAGCCTGGACAGGAGGTGGGGGTCTGTGTCCTGCAATGGCCTTGGGAGGCTTTTTGCTGCCCTGAGGGCGTCTGGGCTTCTCTCTGCCTCACCCTCTTACCCTGCAGCTGGAGGCCCAGCTCTCCCACCTCAGGAGCACACATCAGGAGGCTGCCTCAGAGAACCAGCAGCTGCGGGAGGCCAAGCGTGACCTGGCTGGGAGGCTGGAGGAGGTGCGGGGGCAGCTGCAGGTGACCAAGGGGCGCCTGGACACCGCCAGAGGCCGGGTGTCCTGGCAGATGGAGGAGAAACTGAGGCAAGCGGCTGTTCTCCCTGGACTGGGGTGGACTCCAGGGGCTTCCTGGAACTAGCGGGGAACTCTGAGTTCTCTAAGGCTCTAGCTAGTGCACGGTGCACACACAGCCTCTTTCCTTAAGCCCCACACTCTGCAAAACTGAAACTATCATGCCCATTTCTCAGATGAGGAAACCGGGGCACAAAAAAGGGAAAACTTGTGCTCAAGACCACATGGCTGGAATTAAAACATGCATGTGTATGTATACACACACACACACACACACACACACACACACACACACACACACACACTCCTAGCAGGCACTCCCTCTACTTGTAGCTCGGAGAAGTGGAAAGGGCCAGAATGATCAAGGAAGGCTTCTTGGAGGAGGTGAGCCCTCATGTGGGCCTTGAGCATGGGCAGGATTGGATGAGGGATGGAGTGGGGAGCACAGGCCAGGTGAGAAGGACTGCCTGAGCAAGGACCGGGCGGAGGCCTAGCCATGCGGGGAGCAAGGGATGCTGAGGGATGCTGGTGGGATAGGTGTGACACCGCCTACCTGTCCCTCCCCTCATCTTTGCTTCTCTGCTTCCTTTTCAGTGTTCCTGGAGTGGGTGAGAAGGCCCCAGACCCTCAAGCTGTCTCCCCTGAGGAGGGCCCCCTGCCTGGGCTGTTTGGGGACAACGATGACTGGGACCAGCTCCTGAGCAGCTTTGGCAGCCCTCCGCGCAGAGCCCTGCAGCTCTACTGGAGCCCACCCCCGAGCCCGAGAGCCACCGCGGGCCCCCAGACACCCCGCGTGGTCAGGCAGATCTCCATCTCGGAGCCGCACACTCCACTGTTTGGTCAGGAGCCACCTTCAGATCCAGATAGGGTTCCAAGGACCCCCCCTGGGGTGCCTTTCAGTGCCAAGGACAGTGAAGGAATGGACTCAGATGAGCAGGACGTTAGTGCAGAGCAGCCTGTTGAGACTCAGGGCGAGGACCCCAACCAGAAGCCGGGGTCCAGACTTGAGGGCCGCCTCCTCTGGGGTCTCCCAGGACCCCCAGCTGGGGAGTCGGGAAGCCGGGTGGCAGCTGCATTCAAAGTGCTCATTCCTTTGGAGGATGGGCTCCCTCCCCAAGTGAACGCTCCCCCTCCTCAGGCCCCAGCTGGGTCCAGCAAACAGATCCAGGCCTCAGACTCAGATGACAAGGGCCCTGGGTCTTGGGCTCCTCCCAGCGGGGCTCAGCCTGGGGCTGCAGCAGGAACCCAGGAACCCACACAAACCCCTCCCACCATGACTGAGAGGGAAACCCAGCCTGGACCCTCACCCACAACTGCCCTCGAAGGATTAGGCCCAGCCAAGCCGCCCAGGCAAAGAGAGGCCCTCCAGCAGGACCCGCGTGCCACTGGCTCTGAGCCAGGATTGGGGTTCCAGAGGGCCAGAGCCCTTACCCTGGGGCCAGCTGAGCCCTTCCAGGGCCTGGCATCTGTGGGTCCGGTGCCCACAGAGAGTCTGGAGCAGGGCCAGGCAGGCCCAGCGGAGCAGGAGGGTCTTCCTGAGGGGCTCAGAGAAGCTCATGGCTGGGTTCTTGGGCTGGGTGAGCTGCCTTCTCTCCCCCATGGAGGGCTGGAAGAGGAACCCAGGGCTGAGGAAGGAGAACAAGTGGACCGAGGTGGGCAGGACGTCGGTTCAGAGCTGTCAGTTGAGGCTCACGGCCTGGAAACTGCCCGTTCGGAACACCCCCAGCAAGATTCTCTGCTTGTTTCTCTCCCGTCTGCCACACCCCAGGCTCAGGCGGACGCAGAAGCCCCTGCTCCTGGAAAACCAGCACCTCCTCCCGTGAGGGCTCAGCCTGGGGCAGGACCCCAGGAACCCACGCAAACCCCTCCCACCGTGGCTGAGCAGGAAGCCCCACCCAGGCCATCGTTCCTGACCACTCACACAGAACAAGGCCCCCCGCACTCCAGGGAGCCAAGGGCAGAGAGCATGCTTGAAGATCAAGGAACGGACTCCAGGGAGGCTGGGCTGACCCCACCCCCGGGTGGCCCCATGGCCGGAGGGCCCCAGGCCAACCCTGATTACCTCTTCCATGTCATCTTCCTGGGAGACTCCAACGTGGGCAAAACGTCGTTTCTGCACCTGCTGCACTATAATTCCTTCGCCACCGGATTGGCAGCTACCGTGGGTAAGGGTGCTGGGGAGGACGGCAGGGAGCAAGGGGAGACGCAGGGGCCAGGGCCAGCGAGTGGGAACAGGCCCAGACCAAGCCATCCCTGAGGAAGCTGCAGGTTCTACCCTGACTTCGGGCCCTGCATTAGACATTGTTTTATATGGGCATAATCTTACTATTTCACTAATCGTCTCTAATTATAGGTAATTTGCTTTTTCTGCATTGATCTGATTAGCTTATAATGTGCTACATCAACAAAGCACCCTGCAATTTAGGTGCCTGCTAAGTTGATGGTGAAAACCAGCAAGTCTCCACTCATGTGGCCTGTGGACAGGCCAGAGCAGGGTCTGTGCTGGCTGGATTTGCTCATGGCTAGCTCCAGGCTGGGCAGCCATGGTCTGCCAGGAGGTCACGTTGGGCACGCTGGATATTTTACGTAGAATGTATTTGTCAGGTGTGGTAAATTTGGAACCCAGCTGCCTGAGTTCAAATCCTAGCCCTGCCACTTATTAGGGTCTGAATTTGGGCAGATGACGTAACCCCTTTGAGCCCCCAAATCTTCATCTGCATAATAGGGACAACAGAAATGCTGCCTTCCTAGAGTAGGTGAAGGATTAGTTGAGTTAACGTGTCAAGATCTTGGAAAAATAACTGACATGTAGTGAGTACTCAATAAATATTAGTTATTACGATTATTATTATAAGTAAATATTTGATCATGTCTAACTCAGTGGCTCCTGCAAGAAATGGCAGAAAGCAGACAGCCTTCCCTTCTTGAAAGAATCAGGATATGCAGCCACTGAACCTCATATAGAACTACAGAAAAGCAAACCTGAGGGAATGGAGGGAGACCCACCTAGGGACAAAGATGGAGTCACGCCTATCTTTGTGTTAGACCAGGGCACGTGCCGACTGGGGGTCAGTGCCAGGCCAGTCGGCAATTGACAGCTCCCGACAAGAGAGGCCCGGGACAGGTGTTCAAACTTTTCTTGCCCAAGAATCCTTACCTGGGGAGCTAGTTAGAAATGCAGTTCTCCCAGGAAGAAGAAACCTACAGCTGGGTGACCTGATGTTGAGGGGGCTCACAGGCTCTACAAGGCTACCATTATTTTACTTGTTTATTTGAGACAGAGTCTCACTCTGTCACCCAGGCTGGAGTGCAGTGGCACGATCTCGGCTCACTGTAACCTCTGCTTTCTGGGGTCAAGTGATTCTCCTGACTCAGCCTCCCGAGTAGCTAAGGCGACAGGCATGCACCACTTCACCTGGTTTATTTTTGTATTTTTAATAGAGATGAACTTTCACCATGTTGGCCAGGCTGGTCTGGAACTCCTGACCTCAGGTGTTCCGCTCGCCTCGGCCTCCCAAAGTGCTGGGATTACAGGTGTGAACCGCCGCACCCGGCCAAGGCTACCATTATTAATCACCTAAGCTACTGTTTACTGACAGCCTGTCATGCACCAGGCATCTTCCACACGTCTTATTCCTTACAACAGCCCTCCTTAGAATGGAGCCTCCCCCTTCATTATGTGGTAAGAAGTTCCCACAGAATTCAATCAAGAAAAACACAAGCTGCACAATTGTGAAAAAACAAACAACAGCAAACAAACAAACAAAGCAAGCCTGCAGGGACTGCCAGCCTGCTGGGAGTACTTGAGATCCAGGCGTGTGGTCTAGATCTGTCCCAATCCCAGCTGCGGTTTGCTGCCCCCTGCCGGCTATCATCTATTCTGGTTGACACACCCCATGAGTCCCTATCTCCCCACCCAACATCACCCTCCCCCCTTCCCGTCCCGCTTTTGCACAAATAAGAACTCTACCCTGCCTGCATTTGAGGAGAGGACCAGATAGAGAATCAGAGCCAACGGAGTTATATTTGAATGCGCATTTTCCATACCAATCCCCATTTTACAGAGGAGGAAAGCAGGGAATTGGAGACTTTAAAAGCCCTGCCCCACACCAGAAGTTGTATCCTTTTTTCAGTTCAGAATTGCCTGCTGTCTGGGGCTCCTCACCTAAAACAGCGCTTTAATCCTCCAGCCACCCTGCAGTGTGGCTTTTTCTGATTTGCTGCTTTGCAGACTAGGAGAGAGAGGCTCAGAGAGGTGAAGTGACTTGCCTAAGGTCCTGTAACCAGCGCAGCGGTGGCCTGAAGCCAGCGCTCCTTCTGTCCCTCTGGGCTGCTTGTCTCCCCTGCTGTCTGGTTGACAGGGGAAGATACATGCAATAATTACGGAATGGAACAAATAATTAGGGAATGGACAAAATGAAATAATGAAAACTGTATTCTGGGTGGCCTGAGGAGTGCACATCACAGACAAGGTGCCTCGTGTTGGCACAACCTGCCAGTGTGGCAGGGAGGTCTGGGAAGGCTTCTTGGAGGAAATGGGTCCTCGAGGACGGATGGGATGCAGAGCCGAGGGAAAGCCTACAGCCAAGGGCTCCATCGCACTGCAGCGGGTACAGGGGACAGGTGTGCACGGGGGCAGGCCTTGGCTAAAGTCCTTGATGCAACTTAGTAGGCTTCACTCCTCTCTATGCATCCTAGGAGTCGATTTTCGGATCAAAACCCTGCTGGTGGACAACAAGTGCTTTTTGCTACAGCTCTGGGACACGGCTGGCCAAGAGAGGTAATGGGCACTGTCTGTATCAGTGGTGGCAGGAACCTAGGCTGAGCGCAGGGATGCAGAGGGACCAAGAGTAGCCCCCATGACACGGGCAAGAGGCACCCATGTACAGATGAAGCGACTGCCCCCCGAGGATTCAGGAGGTCTGGGAAGGAGAGATGAGTCATGCCCAAGGCCGGGGAGACAGGGCAGCAGAGCCAGCCAGCGGTGCCTCAGCCTGGCAAGGCTGATATTAGGGCTGTCCCAACGTGGTCGTTAGGGGACAGCTACCCAATCACCTGTCCTTCTGAAAATGCTGCCTTTCTGCTTTCAGCCTAACCAGTAGTGATCAAAACTTAAAGGGCATCTCTTATTTGATTCTGCAATTCCATTTCTAGAAAGTCATTCTATAGATAGACTCATACATGACTATAATGACAAAGGACCAGGACCATTTATCGTGTCATCGCTTGTGCTGTGAAACATAGGAAGCAACCTAAGTGTCCCTCAATAGGGAACCAGTTAAATAAAGTAGGGCCAATCCACTCCACAGAACACTATAAAGCCGTAAAAAGACTGAGGACTCTATGTACTGATAGGAATTTTTTTTTTTTTTAGACAGAGTCTTGCTCTGTCACCCAGGCTGAAGTGCAGTGGTGTGATCTCAGCTCACTGCAACCTCTTCCTCAGGACTTAAGTGATTCTTGTGCCTCAGCTTCCTGAGTAGCTGGGACTCTAGACACACGCCACCAAATTCCAGCTAATTTTTGTATTTTTAGTAGACACGGGGTTTTACCATGTTGGCCAGGCTGGTCTGGAACTCCTGACCTCAAACGATCGCCCTGCCTTGGTGATCACTGAATATTAATGAGTATGATGAATGTTTTACACCGTATTTATATGGCATAGAGGGGGAAAGACGTGTGTGTGTGGGTGTATGTGTGTGTGTGTATATATGTACATACATAAAATATCTCTGGAAAAATACTTAAGAAACTGATAACGTGGTTGCCCCTGGGGAGGGGAACTTGGTGGCTCCCGGATGGGGCAGAGGGAAGGAGACTTTTCACTGAGTTCTCCTCAAGACCTTTTGAAATTTGAGCCATGAGAACTGTTACTGAGTCAACAATAACTGCACTTTGGGAAGGAAAGCACACGGACAGGCTCTGTGGGAGGAATTAGAAGCAGGATAGCTTACTTCTCCCAGTTGGCAGAGGCCAGGGCCTGGGGTTGGGATGCCTGGTGTGGCCTCATGCAGACTCTCTGGGCAGGTACCACAGCATGACACGGCAGCTGCTCCGCAAGGCTGACGGGGTGGTGCTCATGTACGACGTCACCTCCCAGGAGAGCTTTGCCCACGTGCGCTACTGGCTAGACTGTCTCCAGGTGAGCAGATGGCTGCTGGGGTTGGCCCCAGTTCCCCCAGTCAAGAGGGATCTTATATCCTGCCTACTTCCTCTTTTCTCCCAGGACAATAAGTGACATGACAGACATATGGTTGACACCACCCACCAAGGGCATGTGGTTGGATGGGCTGGGAATGCAGTAGTACAAAGAAACCACAACCACGTGGTACAGCCTTCAAACCAAACTACTTCCTTTATCCTATGCACATTCTCTTCCTACATCCGGCAGCTCTGTTCGTAATGTCTTCTTCTCACGCTTGAGGGTAATGTAGTTCTAGTACCATTCCAGCGGCTGATTTCCCGGTTCACACATCTCTAGTTTTTCCCCTGCGTCCTTTCTTGAAGCGTACATACTGCATGTGCCAGCACAGCAGAGGGGTGTGAAGCTAGCCATGCTGTCTTTTCTCTGGACGTTTCTAGTTTAGCAAAAGAAGCAGGATAAGGTAGTATGTGAGGAGGGGAGCTGAGCACTGGGGTCTGACAGGACCTAGATTTGAATCCCACCCACCCCAACTCTGTGACTTTGGAGACGTGAATTGACTTTAGTTTCCTGACTTCTCTCATAGGGGAGTTGTGAGGATGAACTGATATCCTTGCTTTCAGCACAGCACCTGGGGTATAGCAATCACTCATTAATCAGAAACTATTGTTATTATTCATGAAATGATTGGGGAAATGTGCCAGGGCAGCCTGTACAATCAAGCACTAGACTTTCGGCACAGGCAGAAAGAGAAGGCATGGGCAGGGACAATCCAGGAAAGCTTCCTGGGGGAGGTGTTCTTAAGGTTGGCCTTGGAAAATAGGTGAGATGTTTACTGGCAGAGAGGAAGGATGGCGGAAAGGGTCCAGGTGAGAAGTCTATGGAGTGGATGTGGTCTGAGAGGGGAAACATGAGAGGGGCACATTTCCACTTCTAGGAGGGCAAATGTGCCCAGGGCCTGGCATGCAGCAGGTGTGGCTGAGAGACATGTTCTGTGCACAGGATGCAGGGGCTGATGGGGTGACCATCCTTCTCCTGGGAAACAAGATGGACTGTGAAGAGGAACGGCAAGTGCCCACTGAAGCTGGGCAGCAGCTGGCCCAGGTAGGCACTTGGGTATCAGCCTGTCTCCCTGCGTGGGCGGGGCAGACACCTCCCCGGCAGGAAGTGGATAGGCATCACCCGACCTGGGCAGCTGAGAAGGACCCATTTCCCATTCCTGCCCCTGCCCCAGCCACAGGCCTGCTCGGGGTGGACAGCAGCCTGGCCGCCTCTGCCTCCCACACAGCCCGGCCTCTGGAGACCAGCCTTAAGCCCACCCCCGAGGCTGCAGTAGCGGGCATGACCAGGAACCTCACTGTTGAATTAGCACATTCCCACACCATGTCCCCACCTACATAAGAAATAGCTTCAGAGTAAAAAGGTTTTAAAAGCTTTGCTTAAAATTCCCAATCAAATTTTAATTTTATCTCTGGTCTCTAATTAACGGGCTGCCTTCTAAGTTCTCCTATTTTAAGACTCAAATTCTCCCTTGGGATGATTACATCAAAAACCCCACTGCCAGACAGTGGATCCTATTTATTCACGAATAGCATTTAACCACATTCCAGAAAATCTGGAGCGTAATAAATAGAGGAAAAAATCACTCCTCGCCCCACCTCTCACGCAGTCCCTCCTGGCACTTCCATACTGTATTTCCTTCCTGTTTCTCTTCCCATTTCTCATAAATCATGACGTCATCATTGTGGCTCCGGCTTGAAGGGATTTTTTTTTTTTTTTTTTGGAATAGGTTTTGGTTTTTTGGCAGGGTGGAGTGCAGTGGTGCAATCCCGGCTCACTGCAACCTCCACCACCTGGGTTCAAGAGATTCTCCCACCTCAGCCTCCTGAGTAGCTGGGATTACAGGCACGAGCCACCACGCCCGGCTATTTTTTTTTATTTTTAATAAAGACGGGGTTTCGACATGTTGCCCAGGCTGGTCTGGAACTCCTGACCTTAGGTGATCCGCCTGCCTCGGCCTCCCAAAGTGCTGGGATTACAGGAGTGAGCCACCACGCCCAGCCTTTTTCTTAAAAGTAATAACTTATCCCTTTGACATAGTAATTCCTCCTCTAGCAATTTATCCTAAGGGAAGACTCAGAAGTAATAATCCCTAAAGGAACACCTAATGAATACCCATGTATAACGTACAATCGAACACGTTTATGAGGGTTTTCAAATACTACTTACAAGAACAAACATTTGGCAGCAATTGGTGGTTAAATTGCGGACGTTCATATGAGAGGTTAGTATTTGCCATTCAGAATCCCGTCTTGGAAAAATATTTAAGGGCGTGGGGGAAATGCTTACAATATAATATCAAATCATATAAACAGCTGCAAATCTAGATATAGGTGAGGTTGAAACATATGAAATTGCTGCTGATATTTGACTGGGGCATGCCAAAAACAGCAATTTCACATGATTTAACCTAATTGTACAGGACATTTAGCCTCCACCCCTTAAAAGGGTTATATTAAACAGAATGACAATATCCATCCAAATGCTAACAGCGGTTTAGATATTGAGCTTGTACTTCCTTTCTTTTTTTTTTTTGAGACGGAGTCTCACACTGTCACCAGGCTGGAGTGCAATGGCACGATCTCGGCTCACTGCAACCTCTGCCTCCCAGGTTCAAGCGATTCTCCTGCCTCAGCCTCCTGAGTAGCTAGGATTACAAGCGTCTGCCACCATGCTGGGCTAATGTTTTGTATTTTTAGTAGAGATGGGGTTTCACTATGTTGGCCAGGCTGGTTATGAACAGCTGAGCCTGTGATCCCCCCGCCTCGGCCTCCCAAAGTGCTGAGATTACAGGTGTGAGCCACCGCGCCCGGCAGAGCTTGTACTTTCTTATACTGTATCTTCCAATATCCCCCCAATGAAATATTTTTGAAATCAAAAAACATAGCTAACATTTATAAAATGTCCCCAGAGGCATCGCTCCAGGTTGGGATGTAGGCCTCCCACATCACTCTGAAGGCTGTGAAATGTCTCTGCAGTGGACTCCTTGACACCTTGACCAGCTGGGTGAAGGGACAGTGGGCTAAGGTCTCCAGCCAGGGACCGTGGCCCACACTGAGACGGGGCTGTCTCGCCATTTAAGTCGGCTTAGGGACACGCTGGGACTCTGATAGCTAGGACTTTGGTGGTGAGGCCTGGCCTGGCCTCTCAGTGGTCTCCCCCAAGAGAGAGTCTCCCCACATATGCACCTCCCTGTCTGGCCTGCAGGAGCTGGGGGTCTCTTTTGGGGAGTGCAGTGCTGCCTTGGGTCACAACATCCTGGAGCCCGTGGTAAACCTGGCCAGGTGAGTGCTGCCCACCCCCCACCCCCTGCAGAACCTGCTGGGACAGCTCCAGCTCCACTCCTGACTCCCAGGTAGGAAGGGGAGGCCCATCCCGAGGAAATGGGTCAGGGAAGCACCCAGTTAAAAAGACCAGGTCTCACCGGTCTGAGGAGGGAGAGAGAGCACTGCACTGAGAGTCTCCCGACTCCAGCTCCGCCATTCCCATTCGCTGAATCACTCCCCACAGGCACCAATGCCTCGAAGCCTCAGTTTTCTCGTTTGCAAAGTAGGCTGAGAAAAGAAGTATCTCTATTCTGCTCCCAACCTTCTAGTAGTTTCCATGGATTTAGAATAAAATCCAAATGCTTTGGAATGGCCTGCAGCGTCTCCAGTGCCATCTCCCCCACCGCTACACACACACACACACACACACACGCACGCACGCACGCACACAGCACACACAGTCTCACACACTCTCATAACACCCCCACACACTCACACACATACACACAGTCACACACATACACTGATGCACACTCACACACACCCACATAGTCACACACATACACACCTACACACACTCACACGAATACTCCCACACTTATACACACTCACACACATACACACTCACACACAAATACACAATCATACACACTCACACACACATTCATACACTTACACACTGATACACTCACACATGTACACACACATACACACTCATACACTCATAGACACATACATTCATAGACTCATACACTGATAAGCACACTCATACACACACACTAACACTCACACACTCATATACACACCCTCATATACACACACACCCACATTCACACACACATGTACACACATACACACTAAATTCCAGCCACTCGGAGACCCCCTCCCTGATCACCTACCTCCCACCACTATTTTGGGTCACAGCCCCCGTTTCTGTCTTCATGGCCGTTCTTGGCACGACAACATATATCCTATTAACGATATATGCATTTATTTGTTTTCTTGTTGTCCAGGAAGTCAGGGCCGTGTCTGCTTTGTTCAGCCCCTCCCCATACCTGGGGCCTAGGTGCTCCATAAATGAATGAAATGAGGCAGGGATGTGGGGCGCTAGATCAGACGAGCTCCCTCTGGCACACAGTAAATATATCGTGAAGAAATGAACGGCCTTCTTTTGCTTCCCCAGCCCCCAAGCTCTCTCTTGGCACTGAGCCATAGCCCTCTGCCCGGGATGCAATCCCCCCGCAACCCTTTCTGCTGGCAAACTGTGTCCATGGCTCAGGTCTCAGCTCAGACAACATCCCCTTCCTCCCCAGATCCCTCCGGGACCTCGTGCGAAGTCCCCGTGTGTCTCCCCATCATTCCTGGGTTGCAGTCACCCTTTTTCCTGTCTGTCTGTCTCTCACTACTCTAGGGAAGGAATGGTGGCTTCTGTGTCATAGTCAGAATCTTGCACAGGGCTTGGCACACAGTAGGCCAGAAAGAGAAGGTCAAAGTCTCCGTGACTCAGTTCTTCTGGTCCCATGTGGAGTCCAGGGCAGGGGCAGAGTGGCTGTGGGGGTTGCGGGTGCAGTCTCCCAGCCCCAAGCTGCACCCGTGGGCCCTTCCATGCTGCCCCTGGGAGATGAGGGGGAGTACTGATGCCTGGCCACTGTCACGTAGGTCACTCAGGATGCAAGAAGACAGCTTAAAGGGCTCACTGGTGGAGGTGGCCCCCAAGAAGCCACCCAAGAGATCTGGCTGTTGCTCCTGACCGCCTGTCCTGTCCCGGGTAGGATGGACACCCCTGGGGTTTCCTGTCCCTCAGCTCCTGTCTTGCCTTCCTGGACAGCAACGACAGAGAGGACCTGCTTGGAAGTTCAGGAAAATCCTTCTCAAATCAGGACTCAGATCCCAGGGCCGCATCGCCTCTGCCCTTCACGCTCCAAAAGAAGGGATTTGCTGAGTGAACAAGGCGTGGGGGGCAGGGGTACGGCAAAACTCCCCAAAGAAAGGAAGAGTCTAGAAAAACAGCTTAAGGAAAATATACCAAAATATTGAGCACACATCTGTGGGTGATAAAATTATAGGGTGAATGTGGGGGGGTGTTATCTTCCATTTTACACATATTTGTATTTTTAGAGTTTCAACAATAACTGGGCAATCATTACATAATCAGAAAAGGAGATGTTGAGAAGGAGGAGAGAAACTTCCCAAGGAGCTCCCTTGGGCGCTGCTGGCTCCTAATTGGTGCAACCTGTTAATCACAGATTGCTCGGTGTTAGAGCAGTCCCTGTGCGCTCTGCCCGGCAGGGCGCTGTTAACCTGGTCTCATGGGCTGTCTTCCCAGCAGAATCCAGTTCCTGGGAAGGGTAATGTTCTGAAGGCCCCTGCTATGCCCTGATGCCCTCCTGTCTTCCAGAGCCCCAACCTCACTCCCATTCTCCATGATCCGAATCACATCTCCCAGGGGTCACATTCAGGGGTCCTGCCCCCTGCCCTAAGGCCACGGTGTCCCCAAGCACAAGACTTTACCCTCAGTTGTCAGTCTCTGGATGCATTTGAGGGGCAGCTAGGGTGTGGCTGGGGGCTCCAAGCAGCTGGGGAACCTAGACTCAGAATCATTCACACACTCCTCTTTGGAGCTTTTGCAGAAGTTTCCAGAATTCCATAATAGTCACCTTCTGAATGGTGAGTACACCTTATCAGCTAGGCTGGGGTTTCCAGTGCCCTCAGAGAGCTTGCCTTAGAGTCTTAGAGAGACTACCGACCCATCGTCCATGGTCTGTTTGTATGTGTGTCACATCTTCCCATCACCACGAATTGAATGTACAACGTGTGCCAGGTGCTGAGTTTGTTTGTCTGTTTTTTGAGACAGGGTCTCTCCGTTGCCCAGGCTGGAGTGCACTGGCACGATCGCCATCTGCTGCAGCCTCACTGTCTGGGCTCAAGCGATCCTCCCACCTCAGTGTCCCAAGTAGCTGGGACCACAGGCACAAGCCACCACACCTAGCTAATTTTTTAGTTATTTGCAAAGACAAGGTCTTGCTATGTTGCCTAGGCTGGTCTCAAACTCCTGGGCTCAAGGGATCCTCCCTCCTTAACCTCCCAAAGTGCTGGGATGATAGGCTCGAGCCACTGTGCCCAGCCTGTTTGGTATTTTGTAATCCTTCAGGTACTGGGGAATTTCCTGGCAGAATCAACAGAAACCCCTGTTTCATAGAGGGACAAACGAAGACAGTTCAAGGAATAGAGTTACAGAGAGAGAGAGAATAAAGGAGAAAGAGGAAGTGACAGGGGCTGTTGAATCACACAGTCTTAGGACCTGGCCCCGATCCCTCTTCTCAGTTCTGCAAGGAATGTCTCAGCAGCAGTGAGCCTTCCATCACCAGAGGCACACAAACAGAAGCCAGGTGACGCCTGGCAAAAGATGAGGAAGAGGATCCTAGCATCCAAAGCCACCAAGGTTGGATTAGATGCCCTCAATGGATCCCATCCAACCTCCAGACTCCATGTGGATGATTCCCATGGTCCAGCTGATTTTTATTTTTTATTTATTTATTTTTTTTGAGACAGAGCCTTGTTCTATTGCCCAGGCTGGAGTACAATGGTGCAATCTCAGCTCACTGCAACCTCCGCCTCCCAGGTTCAAGCGATTCTCCTGCCTCAGCCTCCTGAGTAGTGGAGATTACAGGCCCATGCCACCATGCCCAGCTAACTTTTGTATTTTTAGTAGAGATGGGGTTTCACCATGTTGGTCAGTCTGACCTTGTGATCCACATGCCTCAGCCTCCCAAAGTGCTGGGATTACAGGCGTGGGCCACCACATCTGGCCTGGTCCAGCTGATTCTTTTACTGGGCCCTTCGCTGATCCTTTTTCACCCCAACATCTTCTCCCGTCTCGGATCCTCTCCCACAGCCCACAGTCTTGCCCCTGAACTGAGCAGTTCCTGGGCTGTGGTGTGCTCAGAGAGAGAGAGAGAGAGAGAGAGAGAGAGAAAGAGGTGAGCTGGAGTGAGTGATGCTGGCCCTGGGTCAGGATGGGAAACAGGTCCTGAAGTTGCTAATGGCTCTTTCTCTGGGGCAAGCACCAACATCTCTGTCCTGTGGGCCAGGGAGTGAATGAGGCAGGTAGGCAGATTGTGGTTCCTGGGAGAGGCAGTCCAGCAGACATAAGACATAGCCCCTGTCCTTTGGGGGCCCAGTACCAGAGCGGCCCCCAGGCCTCCCCCTCTCATCTCAGTTCTGCTCTGGCCTCAGGCAGCTCAGGCTCCCAGGAGATGGAGTTCTGGGAGAGACTCCACACTGCCCAGAACCCCTTCTTGGCTTTCTCGGGTGGGACCCACCTGCTGGTCAGGGCACAGCTGTGCAAGGACCACCAGCCTTTCCCACTGCCAGAGGACTCACAAGCCGGGGAACAGGACCCAGGAACCTCAGAGCAGCACAAAGCAGGCAATGACAGCAGCAGGAGAAACTCCAGGTAGACTTCAGAGTGAACTTCCAGGCAAGTGGTGAGTTATTGGGGCATGTCAGTCAAGGGGGCCCTGGCTTAGGCTTAGCCAGAGTCTGATTAAGAAAAGGAGCCATCCTTTATAAAAGGAGTGGGCTGATGAGACTCAGGCTGTGGAATGAGAAGGGAGGGCGGGGGGATAGAATGAAGGTTGGGCAGGAGCTCTAAGAGAAGAACGCTTGCTGGAACTGAGGGTGATCGGGGCAGAATGACAGCCCTCCTTTACCCAGTGCCTACTTTGTGCCAGGCACCGTTCTGAGCACTTAGGTCATGTTACTTCATTTAGTCCTCACACCATCGGGTACATTCTCCCCAAATTACAAAAGAGGAAAGTACTGCATAGGGAGGCTGAGCAGCTTGTCCACAGTCCCGTAGTGAATAAATGCTGGAACCGGTGTTAAACCCAAGCTCCCGATACCCACAGACTTAACCCTGAAGTTATGCAGCTGCTTACAGGAAGATATGGATGCTTCAGGGAATCAGAGGCAGGGGCCAGGTCCCTCAAGCCTCGTATTGCTCCCTGCCAATTCCTCTCCAGTAATAGTCCACATCATTGGTGGGTGTGGACCAGGAAAAAGAGACGAAAAGGAAGTGACAAATGCCAGGAACGTGGCTGGATGACAGCTTTCATCCAGAGCAGCTGGGGTGCTTGGACAGGTCCTTCATTTCCCCTCCTCCTGCAGTCCCTGGAGCTGGTGGGACCGGGAGGGTGGCCGGCATCAGAATTCACAGCGGCCCCTCTCCAGTCACTCCTCCGCTGCCCTCAGGCACGCTGCTGCCCTGGGACCCCAGAGACTAAGCTAAGTCCCCCAGGCTGGGGCTCTGCAGGAGGGACTCAGAGACTCCTTCAAAACTGGCTTTGAGCCTGCAGGAGAAAGGTGTCTTCAGCCCCCACCGCAGTGTGGGAGAAAAGTGGGGGATAACTCCAATGAGAACTCCTCTGCTGTGTCTTGTTTGCTGCTGGATTCCCGGAATCTGGTCCAAAGCAAATGCTCAGGAGATATGTACTCAGTTGGCAGGCAAGGCTCTCTCCAGCTAAAGCTCTGGGGCCCTGGCCTGGCCTGCAGGGTGGCCAATGGTGACGTCAGCCGCTGGGCTGACTCTAGGATGTCTACATCCCATCTTCCAGCCAGAGTCCTCCCAATCGGACTCTTGGGAGGACTCTGACCTTGACATGTGCGACAGAGTGGGGATGAGGAGAAAGGTCTGACTGCTGGGTGCAGACTGCCCCCACCCTGCCAGGGACCTGCACAGCACAACCTAGAGGGCAGTGATACCCAAGCTGGTCTGCTCTTAGAATTATCTGGGATCTTTCCTTTTAAATTTTTTTTTTTTTTGAGATGGAGTCTCACTCTGTGGCCAGGCTGGAGTATGGTAGCACACTCTCGACTCACTGCAATCTCCACCCCCATGTTCAAGCGATTCTCCTGCCTCAGCCTCCCGAGTAGCTGGGACTACAGGTGCGCGCCACCACACCCAGCTAATTTTTGCATTTTTAGTAGAGACGGGGTTTAAGCATGTTGGCCATAATAATCTCGATCTCTTGACCTCGTGATCTGCCCGCCTCGGCCTCCCAAAGTGCTGGGATTACAGGCCTGCGCCACCGCACCCCGTCTATCTGCGATCTTTCAAAAATGCCAAAGCCCAGACCAACTGCACCATGTCTCTGGGGGCGGGACCCGGGCTTCCGTATTTGTGAAACTCCCCAGGTGGTCCCAAGAAGCTTGGGAACCGCTAGGAGGGGCTTCACACCTTCTCAAAGCCCTTTTAGAGCCACTTTCCCATTTGAACCTCACATTAAACCTGCTTATTTCACAGGGTAGGGTTTTGTCAAAAACTAGATACATATGTGTGTATGTACATATACATTTATCAGATTGTGAAAGCAATGTGTACTCCCTGCAGAAATTTTAGAAATAAATTTTAAAGAAGAAAATGAAAATTACCCGAGTCTTACCACTTATGACAGTTACTATTGACGTCTGCTTTATTTCTTTTATTTCCTTGCTTTCTTACAGCTGAGGAAATTGAGATAGAGAAACATTAAGTAACTCTCCCAGGGGCCAGATGCAGTGGGTCACGCCTGTAATCCCAGCACTTTGGGAGGCTGAGGCGTGAGAATTGCTTGAACCCGGGAGGTGGAGGTTGCAGTGAGTCAAGATCACGCCCTAGCCTGGGTGATAGAGTGAGACTCCATCTCTAAATAAATAAATAGCTTTCCCAGGGTACTGAAGCTAGCAAGTAGCAGAGCCAGGATTTGAACCCATGGTACGGATGGAGTCCGTACTAGTGGGGGGACTAGTGTGTGCCGAGGACAGGCATGTATCCGGGCCCACTACATGAAGGGGTCTGTGAAAACAGGAGGCTCAGCAGGAACGGGGAAGGCGGCCTTTGGTGCTGGCTGGTTTCTACGTTGCCGTTGTGTATCTGAAACAGGAGAATGCAGCCAAATGCCACGTTCATCACCCAGCTCACAGCCACTCCTGAGCGACTGCTCCGACTAGTCTTTGCTGGGGTCTGCGGCCTTGTCCTGCTGGTGGGGCTGGCAGCTAATGGGCTCACGCTGCTGGCGGTGGGCCGGGGCCTGGGCACCCCCCACCCGCTCCACGCCCTGACCCACAGTCTCATGATGAACATCACACTATCTGACCTGTTCTTCGTGGCCTGCGTCGTGCCCGTGCTGCTGCTCAGCTTCCTGCAGCATGACTGGTGGCTGGGCCCTGCCATCTGTACCATTAGCCAGGCCACCAACACAGCCACCATGTTCTGCACCTTCTACAGCATGGTGGCCACGGCTCTTCTGTGCCACATGGCTGTGGCCCAGCCTGACATGGCCTTCCCAGCCGGCTGGGGCACCTGCTTGCTGCTCTGTGGGGCCATGTGGGCCCTGGGCCTTACCGCATCCCCGCCCAACTGGCTGTTCCAGCGGGTGGCAGTGGAGGAGGAGACAGCGTGGGCTCCTGAGACCCGGGCCTGCCTCTTGCTCCTGAGCCCTGCTGGGACCTCCCGCTCCTTCAGCCTGCTGGGAGCCCTGGCCTTCCTGCCATGCATGCTGGGGCTGGGCTGCTCTTTCAGCCACGTGGGCTGGCTCCTGTGGACATAGCCCCGAGGCCCTGTGGGGGAGAGCATCCAGGAGCACCAAGAGAACACAGGGCTCATCCTTGTGGTGCTGGTGGCTTTTGTGCTGATGTGAGGGCCCTGTTCCATGCTGGGCTACGTGGCAGCCATGGACCACCTGCCTGCCTCCCCAGCTGCCTTTGTGGCCTCCAGCCTCTGCACCATCCTGGCCTACTCCAATTGCTCTGTCAGCCCTATCCTCTGCTTCTACCTCTCCCGCCCCTTCCAGGCAGGACTCAGGGACCTCTTCTGCAGGCCGACGATGGCCAGGCATCCCAGAGGTGTGGGAGTGGTGGCCTCAGTGATGGCGACTGTCCAGCCTGGCCATGACAGGGCCCCAGGAGGCCTGTGGGGCCTGGGGGCGGGGGCATCTAAGAGTATAGGCTAATAGAGGGGCTGAGATTCAAGGGAGATGAGAAGACCCTTAAGGACCTGAGAGCCCACCCCCTCTATTTTATCAGTGGAGAGACTGAGACCCAGAGGGCAGATGGCCCAACCAAGGTCACAAAGCAACGGAATGGCTCAGCTAGAGCTCACATCTCTAGGTAACCGGGTGTATCTTCTCACTCCACCTTCAGGCTCAGATACCTGTAGGTTCCACTGCTCTCTAACTGTGTGATCCTGAGCAAGGAAGGCCCTTATGCGCTGTCTCAGTGTTCTCATCTGGAAAATGGGATGAGAGTACATACCTTTCTCACAGGGTTGTTATGAAGATGAATTTACTAAACACATGTAAAGTGATTAGAAGGATGCTTAGTAAGTGCATATGCGTGCTGGTCATTGCTACTGTTATTATTTTTATTCAGGGGCATTTGAGGTGAGTGGACAAGAGGAGGGCTTTTCTTCTCCCCAGAGCCCAATTCGAGGTCCCATCTTTCCCACCCTCCATGCCCTCTGTCTGGCCTGCTCAGGGATGGCCTCAGGCTTCTGTGTTGGCCTGGAAACCTGGGAGATTGTCTCTACTGAAATTCCCAAGACAGCTTGGTGTGTGTTTTGCTTGGGGATGTGTTTTGTTGGTGATGGTGTTACCAGCAAAACACACACACACACACACACACACACACACACACAGCATCCTACTCTGTGGTACAAAGCTTGAGAAACATTGGGTTGAAGCAAATCAAACTGGTCTCTTTGCCGTAGGACTTATCAGAGCCTTGAATACCCAAAAGGCCACTGAGACTCTTGGAGAGGGGCTCACGGCAGGCAGGTTCCCTAACTCCATGCCAGGGAACCAGCGATCCGTGGCACACACCTTGGGAAAGAACCGCGAGAGATACAGCAGTGTCAGGCATGGGAAAGATGCTCTTGGCATCCCGTCCCGCCCCTGGCAGTGGCTCTGCACCTCAGTCCCCCTGCCAGGCAGTCACCCTCTCCTGACACTTTCCCACAGAGCCTGTGGTGAGGTGACAGGAGCTGCCGGTTATGGGAACTTCCCTCCTTCCAAGCTGTGACCCCACCCTGTTCCCACTCAAAGCGTATCAGAATGTAAGTCACAGGGGCATGTAATTATAGGGACAGCCGTGAATCAGCACCCATTTACTAAAAAATCATCAGGAGCAGACAGGTCCCAAACTTCGGTCTAATTCGTTCTAAATTTCATGTGATGTCCAGGGTGGGAATGGCTGCCTGGAGGGCTAACCTGGGAACAAACCTGCCCGGAGAAGGGAGGAATCCCCTTTTGCTATGATCCTGGTCCCTGAGGGCCACAGGGATGTATGTGTGAAGAGGGACAAGAGGAAAGCAGTGTTTCTTAGGCACCTACAATGCAGTGGGTCCTGGGTGCATGTCACATCTGTCACGTGTAACCATCTGTACTCATCCCTCTGGCCAAGCGATGACCCCGCAAGGGCCGGGGTGGTGGTGACGACCCCATTGCGCAGGGGCTGCAGGACTCCTCATGGCACAGTTACTCTGGTGGCCACAGATCACTCAGCCCCTCCTGATGGCTTGGCATCAGTGCCCCATTGTTGTAGGCTTTCCTTGCTCACTGCCCCTGAGCAGGGGCACCCCTGAGAGTGCAGTTCTATGTGTGCGTCTCCAGCCTGGTCTCCGATACCTGAGTGGGGGCCTGGCACTAATGTTTGGTGAATACTTGTTGGGGGATGAATGAATGAGCGATCAAATGCAATAAAACAATCCATTTATTTTAGAGGAGATTCTGATGACTTCTCTCACCTCCTCAATGGCTTCTCATTTTACTAAGTAAATGCCAAAGGCCTCATCATGGCCTACATGGCCCGTGGATTCTGGCTTCTTCACTCTCCAACCCTACCTCTAACGCTTCCACTTCCTGTCCTCAGCTCCAGCCACACCAGCCTCACTCTCCTGCAAACACACCACTGGGCATGCTCCTACCACAGGGCCTTTGCACCTGCTGGTCCCTCTACTGAGAGCCCCCTTCCCCAGATGTTAGCGGGGCTCCCTGTCTCACTTCCTGGGGGCTCACCTCAACCAAGACCTCCTCAGAGAAGCCCTCTCCCACCACCTTATTTAAAACGTCACCCTCTTTCTCCCTCATTTCTCTCTTTTTTTTTTTTTTTTTTTTTTTTCTTCTGAGATAGTCTTGCTCTGTCACCAGGCTAGAGTGCAGTGGCATCATCTCAGCTCACTGCAACGTCCGCCCCCTGGGTTCAAGCTATTCTCCTGCCTCAGCCTCCTGAGTAGCTGGGACTACAGGTGCCTCCTACCACACCTGGCTAATTTTTCTATTTTTATTAGAGACGGGGTTTCACCATGTTGGTCAGGATGTCTTGATCTCTTGACCTCGTGATCCAGCCGCCTCAGCCTCCCAAAGTGCTGGGATTACAGGCGTGCGCCACTGTGCCCAGCCCAATGTCTCTTTAGAACTCTTGGTGTCACCTGAAATTATGTGATTAGCCTATTTGTTTAAATGTTCACTGTGTTTCTCCCATATTATTTGTGTGTGTGTGTTGTAAGCCCCATGCGGGGACAGGGTCTGTGTTTTGTTCACGGCTGCATCCTCCATGCCTAGCACAGAGTGTGGCACGTGGCCTTTCCTTGTAAATCCCACTGAATCGTAGAATTGAAGGAAGCCACAGAGGAGAAGCTGGACACTGTCTAACAGCAGCATCTGTGCTATTTTTCAGAGAAGAAAGAAACACATTGTGCTTTACTAAAAGAACCAAATTTGCTTTAGTTTAAGGCAAATTCCACACAGAGACTGTCTCAGAGACGGGCACAGAACCAGACACCATAGGAACACCACCACCATGCGTGACAGGGGAAAGCGGAGGCAGGCGGAAGACGGGGGCCTCGTCTCCACCACGCGCGGAGAGGGCAGAGGGCTGAGGAGCTCCATGCGGCAACGGGGACTGGCATGCATGACCTGCTGCCTGAGTGGGCAAAGGCTGGGCGGCTGGGTGGGCCCAGGAGGGAGGGTCCCTTCTTCCCCACCTTTCCCACAGCAGGGGCAGGAGCTTGGGCTCAGATGCCAGAGCCCAAGGCTGAAGGACTAGGGTGCATTTGGGGTGATGGGATGGAACAGGGTGACCCAAGAGCCAAGGTGGCCTCGTGTAAAGGGTTGCATTGTTAGGAGTGGGATGGGAGGACATGGGCATGGGATGAATGACCCTCAGGACGTCAGACCTAAAGGAAAACCTGGGGCCATCTGGTCAATCCTCTTGTTATACAGACATGGGAACTGAGGCCCAAAAGGTAGAAGGGCCTTGCTGGGGTTCCCACATTAGGCAGCGGAGGGAGGCAGGGCTCCAACCCGGGACTGTTGTCTCCTAGCCTCATGGGATGGCCTCATGAGACAGGATTCCTGTCTCACTAGCCTCATAGTGAGCCACTCCTTGCCCAGGCCTCCAGGTGGGCAGAGGTGTGGGCACCGAGGGCCCTGGGAAGCCTCCGCAGGGAGGAAGGGATTCCTGAAGCCAGGAGTCAACCATGGAAGTGCCTGTGGGCCCACACCAGGGAGAGGCCTGTGGATCTGTGTGTCTAGAACCTGCATCGTACTGAGCTCGAGAGGCACCAGAAAGGGCTCTGTGCTGAGCAGCCTCCACTTCAGGCCCATCACGTGGCCTACGGTCCATGACTACAGCACCCCATGGGTCCCCAGGGCTCCTGATGCATCCAGTGTCCCCGGGAGGGGGCACATGCTCAGGCCTTCCTGCAAACCCGTCATCAGCCTCCTGGGGCTCACTGGAAATCGGGCAAAGGCAGACCACAGGGCAGGGGTCAGGGATTGGAGGAGATGCTATGGGAGGATGGGAAGTAGATGGGGGGCTGGAGGCGGCCGAGCCCAGGCTTCAGGGTGACAGGTAAGCAAACAGGATGGCTGGGGGTGGGTGACGGGGACCCCAATCACCCTGATTGTTTATACCTTCCTGGCTGGGCTTGAGCCAGATACTGGGGAAGAAGAGAAGAGCTGGGTCCCTGAACCCTGTGGACCCCTCTGTCACCCATACCCAGCAATTCCTTGGGTTTGGGCAGTAAGTGAGGCCAGGAAATTGAGGAGGGGTCTCCAGAAGCCCCACCCCCTGGCAGTCTCCCAGGCACACAGATGTCCCAAAGGCTGGGCAGGCCCACTGCGGGGAGTCTGGGGGCCAGGCCTCCTGTTGGCCTGGTCTCTCACAGGCCCCAGCCACCTGCCTGCTGAGACCAGGTTCAGATGTGCGTGTGCAGAGGGGAAGCAGGGGGTGTGCGGGCTGGGGACTGTGTGGGCGAGTGGGTAGGTGCGGCGGGTGGGGGGCGAGGGCGGATGCCCTGTGCCTTCATGTAGGACACCAGCTGGTCGGGGATCTCTGCCAGCACGTCTCGGGCCAGGCGGGCCATGCTCAGCACGTGGTTGCCTGTGCGGTCCACGTAGTCCCGGAAGGGCACAAACTAGTAATTGGGAGGGCAGGGTCAGGCAGTGCCTCTGGCAGGACCCTGGCCCCCAAAATCTCCAGTCCTGGGGTTGCATTCCCACCCTTCTCCCAGCCTCTGCTCACTTCACTCAGTCCCCCACCTTTGTGAATTACGTGAGGGACTGTATTCCCCAGCTCCCTGCATCTGGGAGTAAGTGACTGTAGTCATAGTCACTGTTCTTTCATTCACTCGACAAATGCTGAGGCCTGTTCCACGCCAGGATACGCCACTGAGCAAGATTCCTCCACCTCGGCACTGAGCACAGGCACGCAGCAGCTGCTCCGAAAGGCCAACTGAATCCCCTGACTTCTGGGGCACGCGCCTCCTGGGTCTCCTCCCACCTGTCCAGCAGGGCCCTCTCTCTCCGGCCTCTCTTCATCCCTTTTCTCTCTGGGGCTAATCTGGCCAACACCTAACGCCAGGCCCATCTGGCTTTATCCCCGGGGGTGCCCTCCATCCTGAGTGCCTCCGGCTCACCCCTGCCTCCGGACCTTGGCACAGCCCGGTCCCACCTCCCAGGCTGTCCTTGCTCTGGTTTCCAGCCCCCTATGTTTGGTCTCCACACCCGGCATACTGGTCCCCAATTTTTAAACCAAGGGAGTATGGAGGATGTCAGCTTTGTCTTCTTCATCTCCTAAGCACTAAGGCCTCATCGGCAGGGGACAAGGGGGGAAGTGCCTTTGGAGGGTGCATTCTTCCACGTGACTGCATGGGAATTCCCTAAGGACAAAGATCTTTCTGCTCCTTATATTTGCATCCTTCATGGAGATCCTGGCATTGATTCAGTTAACCAAGCAGTGCCCATTCGTGGAGAAGGCTGCAGCAATGCTGAAGACATTGCCTTGGGCTTCAAAAGGGACAGAAAAAAAACAGAACGAGGCTGACCACAGAGATCTGGGGGCCGAGGAAGAGCTGGCAGAGGGTTCTGGCCTTTGGCTGGGCACCGCAATGTTAGGTGTGTATCCCGGACATGACAGGGAGGGACCCAGCCCGGAGCACAGCAAGGCCGAGGACTGACTCCTGCTCCTTTCCGTGGTGGCCAGGCCACTTTGGGGCTCCCAGTGCCTCCCTCCTGGCCCTTCTCCAGGGAAGCCCCCAGGGGCTGGGAAGTGCGCCTGGCTAGAGGGGCTCCTGAATTCCCTGTGGGGCAGGCAGGGCCTGGGCTTCACCTGGACAATGTCGCGTTCAGCCAGCTTCCCCCGGGAGGAGATCCGCACGTCGTCGCCATCGAGCTCCACCATGGCTGTGAGAGGAGGGGTGTCATGGGGGGAGGATGAGATTAATGGTGGACCCCGGGGGCAGACAGGACAGTGGACTTGTCCTTCCATCCCAGGCCAATCCGGGCCGGAGACCGTTGGCCCATACCCCGTGTAAGAGATGAGGAATGAGGCCAGGAGCCAGGAGGAGCCCGGTCAGGTGAGCCTCTGACTTCGAGCCCAGTGCCTGGGCTCCCTACCCTCCCCAGACTCCCAGGCCTGGAGGAAAAAGGAGTGACTTGAAGCCTCCTCCGCACAGCCTTGGGATGTGGGTGTGGGTGCACACCCTGACTTGACACACCCCTCTCTATGCAAACAAACACACCCCACGCCCTGCACACTCACCCAGACTCACACCCCCAGGCTGCAGCTCTCACTCTTTTGGGAGGGGTCATTCTCAGGGGCCTGGAGCCTCTGGGGAAACATCTAGTTGGGAGGGGGAGGATGGTTAGGGTAGGAAAGAAGGGGAGGGCAGCAACCGGACTCACCATCGAACTCTGCCTGGCCCACGCCGACGATAATGATGGACATGGGGAGCTTGGCAGCCTGGGAGACAGCATAGGGGGTGGGGGAACGTTGGACCCATTTGGGACCCAGTTAAAAGGAAGGAGAGATGAGGGGAGGGACAGCAAGGGGTGGGGAGCAGGAAAGAAACAAGAGTGAACACGGAGAGACAGAGGAACACAGAAAAGGGGGAGGGAGAGGGAGGGGCACTCAGAAATAAAGAGGAGGGAATCCAGGCTGCGGTGGCCCGGAGGAGAGAGGGAGGGTGTCGGGGGAGAATGGGTCATAGGTCTGCTTTAGTGAGTCACCCCCTCCCCTCTTACAGGGAGACCACCGGCTCAGGGAGCTGTGTTCCTGCGCTTCCCCAACTCCCCTCCCACGCCCTCCACCTGGCCAGGCGGCCTGGGGAAAGGGGAAGCGGTCCTACAGATGAGTTAATGAGGGAGCCACCCGGGTCTAGAGGGAGTAGATCACCCAGTGTGACTCCTACAAGGTGGGAACAGAGCTCACCAGCCATCTTTCTCATGATCCGGGCACCCCTTCCACCCTCCAGAAGCCACTCTCCAGCACTGGGCTCTGCAGCCAGAAGCCAGGAGGTGGATGAGGACAGTGGGGCCCAGTGAAGGAGGGAAAGGAGAAGCCACACCCAAGTCACCACCAAGCATTTCCCTAAAGTTAAGGAGGTGGGCACACCCCCAGGATCCCACTAAGGGGGAGGAAGACACCCCTCCAACTGCCTCCCCCACTGCACACTCCTTGCTTACGTTGACGATGGCCTCCTTGGTCTGCGCCATGTCCGAGATGACCCCGTCGGTGATGATGAGCAGCACGGAGTACTGGGAGCCATCCTGCACGGCCGCTGCGTTCCTGGATGGGGCAGGCACAGGCTGAGGTCTCTCCGAGGGGTCTCTGGGCACGTTCCCCCCTAAACAAGGACCCTGAACACTTTGTGGGGAGGTGACAGCTCATGGGGGAATCTCTTCAGGGTCAGGCCTCCTTGAAAGGCAAGTTATGGAAAGAGACACTCCTTCCCACCACCCAGAGGCAGCCAGTATAGAAACAGAGACCTTGTAAGTGCCTGGAGGTGGCAGCAGGGGCACTCACCTGGCCACGTGGGTGACCACGGGGGCGAAGTTGGTGGGGCCGTAGAGCTGCACGGTGCGCAGGCTGCGGTGGTAGGCCTCCAGGATGCCGTCGATGCCACAGCACGAGGGGTTCTCCTGGTTGCCATTCTAAGGGACAGAGGGCGGGGAGGCTGAGCCCAGGAAGGAAGGACTGGGGTACAGTATGTGTGGGAAGAAAGCACAGGTGGGGAGGCCTGCAGGCCTGCGCTCCCCCAGCTCTTCTCTGGTGTGGGGTGGCAGGCAGGGGAGGGAGCTCCCAGGGCCCATCCTGAAGCAGCACGTGCTTCGGGTGAGCTGGATCCAAGCTTGCTCCCTGCCCCGCTCCCTGAACCTGTTCAGAGATGCCCCAAGATCCCTGGCTGCTTCCCTCAGGGAACCTCAGGCAAACCCACTCTGCCCTAAAATGACTACTGGGTCTGAGCACCTCAGGAAGGTCCTGGGGCTGATCCATCGCATGCATACTGGACCCAGTACAGTGCCTTGCACCCCCAGGCATGGGAGGGACGTCTGTTGCGCCTGAGTGTCTCCAGTCCGTGGGAGCCTGGGAAAGGGGTGGCCTGCGCAGTCACCTCCACAGGGCCCAGGACGCCCAGAGGATGGCATGCTCCACATCACCCCAGGGATCCACCTCATCCCATCTCAGCCCTGACTCAGGGAGCTCTGGGGAGTCCCTGAAGTTGCTCATACCCAACCCACACCCCCTTGCCTGCTTTTCTGGGGCCCTGAGGGGTAGGTCAGCCACAGCTCGCCCAAACCTCCACCTGTGTCTTGTCAGGAATGAGGAGGCCAGAGCCAGCTGTGGGCAGGCAGTTTCCGATGTGGAGGGGCAGCATCTGTGAGCAGGGCAGGGAGTGGGTTTCTGGAGCCCCCCTACACACAGCAGGCAGTCTACCCCCACGGGGGCTGAGCCTTAAGTCCCTGGGCTCAGAAGAAGGGAAATGTCCCCCACCCCCTGATTGTCACCACACCCCAGCCTGGTCAGTCCTCTTTCCCACCAGCTGGACCTCCTACCAGCGGGAACTCGTGGGACACCCTGCCGTCCGGGGGCAGCTTGGCCCCGAAGCCCAGGGCCGGGAACATCTTGTCGCTGTCATAGTGCTGGATGATCTCTCCGACGGCGGTGAGCGCCAGCGCGTAGGCGTTCAGCTGGTAGGGGCTCATGTAGTGCAGGGACGTGGACTGCGAGGGGTTTCCTGTAACACAGGACATGGGAACCTTGGCTCATCTGGACCCTCCAAGCCACCCCAGGTTCAGAATGAAGAAGGGGGTGTCCAAGGGCACCCCTAACTTTATTAATCCTTGACACCTCTCTTTTTCTCATACCCCATATTCAATCCCTCAGCAAAACAGATCCAGAATCCCTCCTGTTCCTCTCCCCTTCCCATACCACCACCCTCTTGCTTATAGGACGCAGCAGTCTCCTAACTGATCTCCCCGCTTCCTTCCGCCCTTGTGCCTGCAGCCCATACCCAGCACAGCAGTGACTGAGCCTGTCAGCCTCAGAGAGACCATGCCTCTCCTCTGCCCAAAACACTCAAGAATTCCGCCTCCCCCAAAATGAAGCCCACAGTCCTCACAAGAGCATGCAAAGCACGCGTGATCTGGCCTTCAGGTCATCGACTTCCTCCCTGCCACTCACCAGTCCCAGCCTTACCAGCCCCTCGTCACTCCCACCTCAGGACCTTGGCGATGGCTGTGCCCTCCCCCGGGACACTTTTCCCCAGGTGCCCACATGGCCCAGAGGCTCCCTTGCCTCTTCAGGTCTCTGCTCAAGTGTCACTCCTCAGCGTGATCTTCTCCAAGCAGCCTGTTAAAAATTACAGCCTCCCCCAACCCTTCCTATCCTTCTTCCCAGCTTGATTTTCCCCCCGAGTCCTCATTGCTACTAATAGAGTCTGTATTTTTTTTTGAAATGGAGTCTCACTCTATTGCCCAGGCTGGAGTGCAGTGGCGTGATCTCGCTCACTACAACCTCTGCCGACGGGTTCAAGTGATTCTCCTGCCTCAGCCTCCTGAGTAGCTGGGACTACAGGCACCTGCCACTATGCCTGGCTAATTTTTATGTTTTTAGTAGAGACAGGGTTTCACCATCTTGGCTGGGCTGGTCTTAAACTTCTGACCTCATGATCCACCCGCCTCGGCCTCCCAAAGTTTTGGGATTACAGGTGTGAGCCACCATGCCCAGCCTGATATAGTCTGTATTTAACTTATTTGTTCATTGATGGGAGGCAGGACAGCACAGATTGCCAAGGTACCAATCCCGTCTAACTGCGTGATCCTGGGTAAGTTCCTTAATCTTAACCTTAGTCTCTTTGACTGCAAAATCAGAGCAATAATAGTTCCCACTTCACAGGATTGACGTGAGTATTACACAGCTGCTACCGCTATTATAATCACTGTCCTCAGTGTTAACTGTTGCTAAGGCCCCTCCCAGCTCTGACTGCCCAGTGCTCTATGATGCTGGTGCCTACAGCCATAAAATGCGTTCCTGGCACCTGTGGAGGGCAAGACCTGGACATTTCTGGTTGGCACAAAAATGAGCATTGAGCACCCCTAATAGAGTCCAGAGCCCAAGGAAGGTTGTGATGTAAAATCTGGCATGGTGATTCCTCCTAGTGACTCAGCCACAGGCTGACACTGGAGAAATTGGGCAGAGGGAAGGAAGCCAGGACAGATAAGTCCAGCCAGATAAGGACTGGGGTCCCTGGGCTGGATCCTGCCTCCCTGAGGACCACAGGACTCCGTCTTGGCTCTGGTTCTCACTCTAGCCTGTGGGGTGGACCGCACAGAGGAGCTGGGATTTGAACCCAGGGAAACATCGTTCCTCCAGGGCTCTCCATAGACCCAAAGTACACACAGTCCCACAATCCCATCCCCCGGGAGACTGGGTGTTCCTCAAGGGCGGGGCTATAATTCAGAGCCCAGATTTATGTCAGTGGTCCAATGTGGGATTACCTCTGCCATCTTGGTTGTATCTTTCATTCTCCAGACCTAGATACCTCCTCTTTGGTGAGGAAGAGGCCAGAGAGTATGAGGATTGTGGCTCCCAGCCAGGGCCAGACACCACAACCCTTAAAAGCCCTCTCCTCCCACCCTGCTCCTCTGCCCATCCCCCAACTTACCATTGGAGGCGGTGAAATCAATGGCCACAGTGAAGTTGATCTGGGTCCTAGAAGAGGGAGAACAGCAGGGGAGTCACCTGGAGGGAGGCAGGGCTGTGGGACGGGGGACAATGCTGGGCTCTGGCCGTCACCCTGGCCCCACTGCTCGCCAGATATGTAGCCTTGGTGAAGTCACTCATCTCTTTCCAGTTCTGGAGAGCTGGGACAGTAATGCCAGCCATGCCCCTCTAAAAGAATTAATGTGCATCAGAAGAGTTAGGCAGTAGGATAGCTCTTTGAAGATGACTGTGTTCTGTGGGAGCGTGTGGCTGCGATCACTCATTTCCTCCGCAAACCCTACCCCCAGGCCCGCCTGAGTAGGGTGGGTGAGATTGGGTCTCATTGGATTGCTGGCTCAAAGTGAGATTCAGGATGAAAATTCATCTGACAAAAGAGAGAGTCAAATAGACATTATGCATCTCCTAAAGAAAGAATAAAATACCACCCATGAAGTTGTCTTACCAAAAAATTGAACCTGATTCTGATTGAGGTTCCAGAGCTATCTATCTAGTCGGTTTACATGAAATACAGGGGACAGAGGAACACATTAAATGACACCACAGGAGATGTGGCCAGCAAAACCCAGTTTTTGGGAAACTCTGTAGATGCCCTATCAGAGTCAGCAACAGCGCTATCTCCTGGAAACATTCTGGGCCTCTCAGGCTCCATCTAGCTCTCCTGAATCTTAGAGTCTCTCTCTTTTTTTTTTTGAAAAGTGGTATCGCTCTGTCACCCAAGCTGAAACACAGTGTCGTGATCACAGCTCACTTCAGCCTCAACCTCCTGGGCTCAAGCAGTCTTCCCACCTCATCCTCCTGAGTAGCTGGGACCACAGGCACATACCACCACACCTGGCTAGCTTTTTTTTTCTTTTTGTAGAGATGCGGTCTCATTATGTTGGCCAGCCTGGTCTTGAACTCCTGGGCAAAAGCAATCCTCCTGCCTCAGCCTCCCAAAGTGCTGGGATTACAGGTGTGAGTCATCACAACTGGTTAAATATTACACTCTCTTGGTGGGGTACAGGAATCTGTGTTAGCAAGCCATTCAGGTGGTTGGGGGAATGAACAGATGAAAAGAGAATTAAGAGACCAACCCCCCAATCACAGCATATGGCTCTTGCCTGGATTTCTAATTCAAACAAACCAATTTTAATACTTTATAAGATAATTGGGGAGATGTGAACACTCACTAGATATTTTGTATTAAGGAACTGTTCATTTTTTAGGTGTGGTTATGGTATTGCGGTCATGTTCTACAAAGAGATAGTCCTTATGTTTTAGAGACATGCTAAAGCATTTGGGGATAAAATATGATGGCTGGGATTTGCTTCAAATTGGATATTGGGAGGCTGAGGTGGGAGTATCGATTGAGCTGAGGAGTTCAAGGCCACCCTGAACAATATAGTGAGACCTTAAAAAAAAACCCACTAAAAAGCCGGGCTCGGTGGCTCAAGCCTATAATCCCAGCACTTTGGGAGGCCGAGGTGGGTGGATCACGAGGTCAAGAGATCGAGACCATCCTGGTCAACATGGTGAAACCCTGTCTCTACTAAAAATACAAAAAATTAGCTGGGCATGGTGGCACGTGCCTGTAGTCCCAGCTGCTTGGGAGGCTGAGGCAGGAGAATTGCCTGAACCCGGGAGGCGGAGGTTGCGGTGAGCCAAGATTGCGCCATTGCACTCCAGCCTGGGTAACAAGAGTGAAACTCTGTCTCAAAA